GCTCCAAGATGCGGAAGCGGGAATGCATGTTTCCGGTTGCTTTCTCTCTTGTATTCATGTATCACGGGACACTGCCAGTTTGTTCTACAGGCCTCCCCACCCCAATTCTATTAGAAGCCTCTCTATGAAGTGCAAGCACGGTTCAGTGATTCAATCGGTCGCAGAAAATGATTTCGATTTTCGGTACACAAGTACTAGGCATACCCAGCGCAGCGACGGCACTTCGTATCCCCCCCATGCCTCAAACCGAGTATTCTAGATATATATATTTCCTAAAATCCGATCATTGACTCGGGCCCACTGCCATAAGCTCTCTCTCCACATGCCACTAACCAATTGTACGTATGATAACACCACTAGCCGCTTTCATAAAAAACTCCCATCCGCCCACGAACCTATCAGAGTGGCCAGAGGGAACTCGTTGCGTCGTGATTGATCTGTGGAAGTTCCGGGGAGTGTTGAGGATCTTTTCGTTTGCTCCGCAGTTGTCCCGATTCACCGAGAAGGTCCTCCAGTCATGCTCTGTTCGCCATAACAGGGATGCGCGGTGGAACGGGGACACGGGTCAATTTACTAAGCTGGGGGGGGGGATCAGGAATGCCAATATTATGCTTTATATACGCTCACGTCTCATCCATCAAGTTTAGAGCTTTCCATGCGAGATTCATACCCACTCGATTCTTTCTCTTCGGAAAACTTACGAATATGATACATCGTTGTATGAGCGCACCCGTTTATTACCCCTCCGGTTGACCACAGCGCCGAATCCACGCTCCCCGCAGCGGATACCCGGCCAGGTAAGCTAGCCGCAGTGCGGTGTATTCTTCGAGGAGCTCGAGCATTATCATTATTATTCCCTAATTCGCACTCACCCACTTCCAGAGTTGGGGGGGGGGGGGGGTATTGGAATTCAAGGGTAGATCCATTCTCCATCGCACCCATAGCAGCAATCTAGCTGCCGGAACCAGATTCCGACCGATACTCGAGTAGCTTTTACATTCGGATGAGTGGTCGGTCAGATGCCGGGTCCGTCGGCGATGGCGCGAAGGATGAATGCTCGTTGTCTAAACCCCCGTCCATCCATACTCCGAATCGAAGGACGTCTGTGAACACGACGACACCTTATTGCGCGTCGCTAAGATTCACAACCACGGGACCAACCCTATCATAGGCACTGTCATATCATTATTTTTAAGTCATTGTGCAGGAAATCTTTAAAACCCTGACTATGCAATGACTAATAATAATAGGTGAACTATCGGGTTTTTAGAACAACTTGTGCCTCCTCGCGCTCTCAACCATCTTAAATTTATCCCCATCGGTCTCCACATCTACCACCAGGCTGACTAAGGAATATATATGACGGCAGGTTCTCTCCTCGCTCTGCTGACATGTTTCTCATTTTTCAATATATTATTATGGCAGAATTTTCTGCCTTTCTCGCCACATGATATTATGATGTGAGAATTAAATTAGAGAAGACGCTGTTCTTTTCAAAGGAGAAATATGACAGCGCATGTGATTCATCCAGCGGTGTATCATAAGCAAAAAACAAAAAAACAAAAAGTCCCAGCGGTACAAGTACAGTACTGTACGCAATAGGAACGATATCCGCAAACCTTCTCGATCAATCCCCTCAACTCACAAGGAATGATAGGGTGAAGGAAAAACATCACAAGGCGATGTTCCCAAGAGCATGGGGTTTCCATACCCGTATGATAGTGTTATATCTGAGAACAAAAACTAAGTTATCAATTAGGGGTAAGACTGCAAGGCCACAGTTTCGTTTTGCCTTATACAACCCCCATGACCCGTCCTTGAAAAAAAGGAAGAAAAAGATCCCCTGCGCTTCCCATCTCCGTCACCATCATCTCCCTCCCGGTGCCTTTTTCTTATCGCACTCGTACCATACCGGCGGCAAGTCGCCACCGTCGCCACCACACACACTCACACAAACCCCTCCTCAAACGGAGAGCTTCTATCGTACGAGCACAGCACCGGCAGCAGATCAGAAGCAAGGGCCGGTGGTGGTGAAGGCGAGGCAAGGCAAAAAAATAAAATAAAATAAAATAAAAAGTTCTTGATCTCCCGAGAGCTGAACCGTGGTAATGAGTTGCGGCAAGAGCGACGACGGCAATTTACAAATAGCAAGTGCTTGTATGATACAGTACTGTACCATACTCGAGCACAACTAAGTTTGAACCAACTCGAGACCACAAAGCATATCGCACACAAACTCTGCAATCTCGGCTCGGCATTGAGGACGTACTGCAGCCAAGGTGGGTGATGCATAGAGTAGCACAGGATCGGACCTTAAATTCTACTTGTACGAGTACTGTACAGTACTGTACACGTACAGTACCGGTATTGTCGCAAAGTGGATCAAGTCCCACTTACCCAAAGAAATTAATTTGTGGGAGCCCGGACAATGGGAGATAGGATGATGCGAAGCACATAACCGGTACGGTAGGCTAAACCCACCGATTTGGCACTGCGAAGCATTTCGATTTGAAGTTGGTGGATAATAGAAGGGGAAAGGGAAAGGGAAAGGGAAAAAATGGTTACGGAGTTTGTCCAACTCGACACCACAGATTGCGCACAATTAGCACGGCATCCATAGGGCGGGCAAGAGACACCCCCAACCCCTGGCTAATTAATTAATCGCGTTACCCCAAGATATCATAGGATTTCTAAGCCTTTGGAGAACCCGGCCCATCACATCTCTCTTTTGGATCACTGTCCTGATATGCGCAAAGATTATACTTGTCTAGGAATTTCCGAGTTTGGAATAGCGCCCTTTTTGAGAAATTCTTATTATGGTTTCCTCATCTAAATAGCCAATTAGAACTGATCCATGGCATAGGAGAAGTCGTTGTGCTTGTTCATCAAACAGTCCACTGAAATCATAGCTTTCGAAGCTCCTCACCAAAAATAAACGCCATTAGGGGTTTCGTAAAGGGACCGCTTACGAAAATTACGAAAATTACGAGAGTTTTTTTTTTTTTTTTTTTTTTTCCAAATAAAAATATCCCGATAATTCTGCGAGGCAGGTCTTGGTTGGCCGGCACTATACCACGTACCAGCTACCAATTTACCCTTCTTCACAATATAGTATGGTAGTGGCTTCGCGACATATCACGGTACGAGTATGATAGATCCCACTGTTCACCAGAGGGATTGTGCGATAACGAATGATAAACCATGAAATAAAAAAAAATCTTATCTTATCGTACCCTTGCTCTTTGCCTGCTCTTTTGACCCCTTCTCCCTTTTTCTTTTCTTTCTTTCTCTTTCTTTCTTACGCCCCAAATCAAAAAAGAAACAATCATACCTTCTTTTTTCTTTTTTTTTTTTCTTTAACAAACCAATGAAACAAGAGAAGTGGAACCAAAAGCCTCAAGAAATTTGTTATTCAAGGCTCCATTTGAATTGTTTTTTTTTTTTTTTTAAAAAAAAAAATCTCAAATCGACGATCGTTGAGGCGTAAATATCTATTCTACGAGTACAGTCCAGTACAATATACTCGTAGCGGTATGATACCGTACCGGTACCCTACCGCAGCTGTGCATGATGGGAATCGACACAGCCCCATCAATGCTTGTCCATGTAGGGTGGCGGCGTGGGTGGTGGCTTGACTATGATATGAAAAATCGTATGTGGTTCGCCCTGGAAAATCCAGCCTTGATAGCAATGCCGAGAACGCTTAAGCTAAGTTGCTCGAATTATCAATCAACCACAGCACTCGAGTACCGGTTCTCTTTCGCTACCGTAACTGGTATCCTATCGTTTGCCGACCGCAGAAATGATAATAATCCCTCTGCTCCAGTTGACAAAGATCTACCCACCCCAGAGACTACTTACCGCAGTGCAGGCATACTCGTTCCGGGCAGGATGAGGTGCAACGAGTATGATATCCCAAAACAGGGAAATTCACAAAATACATACACGTCAAAAAGCCCTTGCATATTCGAGCGCCCCATAGAAACTCACGACTCGTATTTCCTGGAAAGGATACTTTTCTTGCCCGAACGAGTGGTGCTCAATTAACGGGGGAGAGCCTATCAAGGCTATATTTTTTTTCTTTCCCTTCTCTTTGATCGGAAGGGCCCCCCTCCCCCGATCCATTTATCGGTACGAGTAGAGCTGAAACTGCATCCAAGCTGTGAGGCTAACTTAACTTAAAAATGTTTTTTTTCCTGCCGCTAACAGCACTCATGATTTGTGTGTAACGATAGGAACGACTTGGTGATGACTGCATGCCGGAATACCGGTAGAATAGCTAATAGACTAGACTACCGCACTGTATAATAACAGCTATTAGGGGTAAGTCATGACGCTGTAGTGGTATGATACCATATTAGTGGACTATCGTCATGAAAAAAAAAAAAAATGAAAAAAAAAAGATTGCTTATGCGAGCACAGATTCCACCGAAAACATATTAAATTACCAAGGCCAAGGACCAGAGTTGCTCTCGGCACCGGGATAATAAATAAAAATATAATTGAACCCGAGTGAAACATTCAGACAGGAAAACCACCATTGGTCGTAGATAAACCCGTGCCCTTCCTACTCAATCAGCTGACGTCCAAAATGACCAAGTCTCTCCCCCCGTTCAGGAACTGTAAATAGTCGAACCAGAGCCTACGCACTATGCGGAGAGATTCGGATGCCCATTACGCAACATGCTCTTTCCGCGAGCATTCTTAGGTTGCGGTAGTTTGGCCCGATCTTTGCCATTGTGATGTAAAATTGGAGAGTCCAGAAGGTGGTAGAGTATGATACCGCACAGGTAAAGCAAAACCTTGTGCAAGCTTCGTCCATACCGGTACTGTACTCTGCGAGCAAGACTTCCAAAACGGTTGTTCAGCTTAAGCAACTGTTTCATTCAAGAGCCTGCGCAGTTGCTTGGCCTCGAATCCCCTCGATCCTGCTTGCTACCAGTACGAGTATGATACTCGTATTTATCTTTCTACCCCAACACCCACCAAACGGCACTTACCCCCCTCGCCTAAGCAATAAGTATAGTGTCAAAACAATATTATCATACCAAAGCGAGCGGCCACGACGCCCAATAGGTCCGCGTTTCCGACATCTACCATACCATTAGCTAGTCCCCTCGGCCACGACGACGATTGGAACCTTTCACCCCTTTCGGAAAACCGCACAAAAAGAACCACACTTTACATATCGCGGGCCATTTGTCAAAGCAGTACGCCGCGCGTGCATGTGGATGTGTCAGAGTGCAGAAGTAGGAAGCGAGGAATTGCATGTCGGTCGACGATTTTCATGTAACTAGCAGCGAGAGATTGGCGAGCCAAGCGGGTGACGAACAGTGTCGTGGGCGGGATTCCCGAGAAGGGGGGTTGAAGATGAAGGGGGATAACATCCACCTTCATTCAGTGTGGCCGGTCGCAATGGGAATCGTGAACTCCACGGATACGGTAAAATGTCCCCTCCATGCCGCTCAAGTTGGATGAATATCGACATACATCATCACGGATGCACCCCTTCACAACCCTCTCCCGGAAAAAATGTATCATTGGAGCTGTGAACCAGCCTCTATAGCGTAAAAAAAACCTGCCATCTGTGGCTGTCTTGCTCGGTTTTTGGCCCAAGTTGGAGCATTTAACTGGCACTTTGCAAATTCCGGCATTGAACTTCTGGATCTCGATTCCCATCTTTTCATGATATCGTATAACCCGTTAAGCAGCTAGGCGCATCGGCAGGGTCCCTTCCACTTTTCTTCGGATACCCGTATGGATTGGGAGGGGGAGCAGGAGTACGATCAAAGGTAGGGAAGCTTAACTATAATTTGGCCACAACATAAAGTGTCCCAGGGATTTCCACCATTCTACGTATCGACGTCCCACCCCTTAGCTGTTGAATAAAATCCCAATCCTATCACTCGATAACCGAAGAGTAGAAATGCTATCTCTTCTTGCCCTCCCGCAACCATCGGTTGGTCACCTGCTGCGTGCCTATGCAGCCGCAACCAGGATCGAGAACATTTCGAAAAGACTCCTCGCCCTGTATCCCACCTTGCTCTTCGTGGCAATTCTCCTCTTTTTTCCCTTCTATATTGCCTATCTTTCAGTATCCAATAAAGTTCATCTTCCACTCAAGCCAGGAAAACACTTGGCTAAATTCAAGCGTAACCACTGGGAGATTACAGACAAACTCCCAACGGGACCATCAGACGAGGGTACAGAGTCGACCGAGATCAGAGTTTCCAAGGAGTCTGTGTTCCCAGCGAACTGGTGGTCAAGTGAGGAGCTTTTCCAATTGGAAAAGAGAGCGATATTCAGCAAGGTGCTCTCTGATAACTCTCTCTCTCAAAAAAAAAAAAAAAAAAAAAAAACCCTGCCCTTTCTCCTCCCACGATTCATGGGTCTGACTTCTTTTTTCAAAAGTCCTGGATCTACGTCACACATAGTTCACGGTTCGAAAAACCCGGAGACTACCTATCTTTCGAGATCACCGATCTACCGTTCTTTATAATCCTTGGGAAAGACAATCAACTACGTGCGTTCCACAACGTATGTAGGCATCGAGCATACCCTGTCATTCGTGAGAAAAAGGGTAGCTCCGTAATCATAGGTAGTTACGCACTTGATACAATCCTACTTGGTAATAGAAACGTCGATGCATGGGTCTAACGACGGGCATATGCAGGTTGCCGATATCACGGCTGGTCGTATAATGTTCAAGGGGCGCTGATCAACGCACCACAGTTCGAAGGTGTTGAGGGATTTGATAGAGACCGCAACGGTCTATTCGAGATACACACTCGCACGACCAAAGAAGGGTTTATTTTCGTAAACTTCGATGTCTCTGACCACGCTGTCGTGTATCCCGAAGATAAGCTTAACACAGCAGCGTTGCACCACGCAGAAGTCCAGAGAAGATGGGTGGATGGTTGGACAACTGAAGGAAGATTCAACTGGAAAGTAGCACTTCGTAAGTTTGTTTTCCCTATCAGTACTTAGTCCATGCGCGGGACTCGGTCGGTCCGGGTTGAACACCGATACGCATTATTTGTGTTCATCTTGATGGCAATTTTGATGCTACGTAGCGTTGGAGTCGTGCAGCGTCTTTGAACACGTTTTACATTGGATAAGCTTTCCGATGAATCAACAACATCACGGTCGCTCGAACTCAACTCTCATGGATCAAGGATACAGGGGAGCGAGAGAGCTCGTGACCTCTCCCTCAATTCCTATGCAGTCATTACTCCCCTCCACGACATGGGGGCGTCGTCAGTTGGCCCTTCGAGTTGTCATTCCTTCTGTCGCACAATTCTAGATTGTCTCGGGCCTTTCTCGTCTTTCCTTGGCCTTGGCAAAAAGCATGGTGAAATGATGGCTGACAAGAAGACCGAATCGAGTACGGTACCAGATTATGCCGAGCATGGCACCGAGATGCAGCTACCAAGTAATTCAACATCATATGCCTCGATACTCTTTAGCTTTCTCTCCCCCGCCTCGAAAAGAAGTGCGAGGGCCCACATATTCCCTGTAACAACTCTTGTGACTCCGGACGATCCAAGAGAAAGTGGAATCTGGTTTTCCATACGTGTTCTTCCCTTATCTGCGGAAACATCCGTATTGTCGTACGACGTCTACGGCGAACCGGAGAGCAGTAAAGATGATGTGGAGACTCTAAAGAGGATGGCGAAAAATACACTCCAACAATTGGAGGCCAGACACGAGCAGTTGTGCGCAAAAGAGTGCCGGTACGTTACTTTCCCCCCTTTTTCCTTTTGATCTCACATGAGGTCACCCAGTGTCACGTAGGTGGGAGAAGTACTAGTACCGGTACGAGTACAGTAACCAGGGCGGACCGTAGTACAGTACGGAAACTCTAACTGGTGCTAGACTAAGACATATTCCTCGGGAACCCTCAAGGACCGGAGGCGTTCACAACAATGCCAACGAGAGTAAGTTTCCTTCTTCCTTTTTTTGCTCTCACCACTCGCAGTGTCCATCCGATCTTCCCCCATTATATGTTTCTCCTGCAATCACGACGCGCGATCTGTAGATATTCTTTACCGTCGAGCCCAGAAGCACCCCCCCCCTTTTTTTTTTCCATACAAAAGCAAGGCTCCCCTTTTGCTAAACATGCCTACCCCCGTATCATGCGACTAACTATAAATGACGAACCATGCCCCATGGTAAGGGTCTGGGCATCAGCTAACGTCTACCCAAAAAAACAAAAAAGAGATTAAACAAGCTCAACTGCTTTCAATGCTACAGTCACATCTTCGAAAAGAGAAAGAAATGGGTGGGACAAAGATTTTTCCTGCATTCGCCGGAAAGCAATACATGGGGCAGAAAGGGATTGAAGCTGATATGGGTTCGTATTCTTTTCCTGTCGTTACCCCTCGGCTAAATTCATTTTATTTCATTTTTTCCCCTCCTGCAAGCAGCCTCTCCTTCAATTTTGGAAGGGCAGACTCTGGTCAAATATGTTTTTCTCTTTTCTCCGATTTTTAGAAGTGTCTTAGAGGATGGAGGTTGCGACCTCCGATTTTCGGCTCTGCTTCCAGCTGTCTCTCGCCGTTTTCTTGGCTCAGCCTGCTCATTCCTAACCCATTCCTTGTCACCTGCCAGAGTCTCCAACCGGTTCCTTTTCTTTTTTCTTCTTCCTTTTTCTTTTTTTTCCTTTCCTTTCATTTTTTCCCTTCCCTTCTTATCCCCCTCCCCCCCACACTCCGTATCAGGCGCGGTCGTGGTCTGTGTCCCTCGCATCGCGCATCAGCCACGATCAGTGGTGATGTCGTTCACTCCCGAGACAACGGGTTACCCGCGAGTCCCATCCTGTACCCCAAGGAGGTCTAGCCGCAGTCGATTCCACCGGAGCTGGAAATGATGTGCCGTACTCCCCACACACAGTACCCTGGTCATTGAAATTCATGCGCTCTGTTTCTCCAACCTTTCGGTTTTCTCATTTTTCTTTCTTCCATTCTGTTCTTTTCTTTTCCTCCATTTCTTCCACAATTTGGCAGCGGCTACTCGCCAGCAATCCCTATCTCATTGGCTGACCCCATCCGCTTGGACAGTCTGTAAGGAGCTCGACCGGTGCACTGCCGGTAGGGAAAACAAACTGTTTGATTGGTAGCCGAAGCGGCTGTTACAGATTCGGGAGAGATACAGTCCGGTATCTACGGTAACGAGTTTGCTGGGTTATGCGACCGCCAGGTGTGGGACTTTTTAATAATTTATTTCCACGCAGTACTTGTAATAATTGCCCTCTAACGAAGATACTCGAGTACTGTACGTGGACACATTAGCGCTTGAAGAGTGAGAACCGCGGTCGTCCATCAATACCAATTATGGGGTTGCTGTAAGACTAACTGAAACAAATAATTTATTTTTTAATTTTTAATTTTTTTACCCCCTTCTCATTCTCCTACAGTGCTCGCGCCTATGCGTCTACTAGTTACCTCAGCTATTGCTAGTTTAGGCGACTCCCTACCGTACATCTCTCTAGCGCGGGAAATGAGCAGGAATAGGAATGGTGAACTCTAAATTTGAGCGCGGTGGAACGAAAATACGACAAAGTACACTTCAAGCACATTCATTGCACTGTTTCAACATAAATATCATGAAAAAATATAAAGTATCATACTCGTACAGAATAAGAAAATCACTCGCACCTCTGGGCGCTGTGCTCGAACTATCTCGGCGGGCGCGCGGGTGTCAACTTAAAGCTTTACGAGGTTCGCTTTTCAGGATAACTGGCGATTAAAGGCTTAGTCTTCAGTTAAACTTAAATCTAAGAAGTTTGCGGTTTCTCTGTAAACGGTAAAAATGGCCTTAATGCTTACTGCACTCCGCTCTCGATTTTTTCCGGCACTTGCTTTTTTTATCCTTGCTTTTCATCCCTTCGGTTTTTTGTTTTCCCTTTCTTTCTTCATTTTTCTTTGCCCTTATGGCGATCAGTAATATTCTGCGGTGTTAATGTTTTAGAGAGACTCAGGCCCGTCGCAGATTATTATAGCCAGTAGGGATGCTAACAATAGAGACGCTCTGATATCTGGAATCATAAATGCCGTAATAACGATAACTTACGGTCCCGATATGATGACTACACATGGTCCAAGAATTAAAGAGCGCTGACGATAGATAGTCTACAGCCCCGGAGCCCCGCACGAAAGGGGCGCGGGGTGGGGGGTACTCGAGTGCGGGAGCGATATGAATTGCCGTAGCGAGAAAACCAAGGAAGTGAGGACGAGATGTGAAGTGGAGGAGCTGTTACTGTTGTGATGACACAAAGGTGCATAATAGTACACAGGGTATGAGTTAAGTTATGGGAGCGCTTCACGGTGGCTACCCGTCGATGACTTTGGGGAGTTCTCAAAGCATGTATGATACCGTACCGTACAGTGCTGGTACCGCACTCGAGTAGAGCCCACGGAGGACGAGGTGGGTATTTCATGCAGTCGGTGATGGTCCCTCCAGTAAACTCCGCCCTTTTTCAGCCTCCGGGGGAGGAGTTACAGGGGCTACTACCGTAATGTAGATCGATGCTGCTTCCAGGGCTTGGCGGTTGCCTTGCCTCCTAGTGAGCCTACGAGGTTGCCTACCGACTCCTAGAGACAATTGGAACAGCCTCAACCACAGGGCACTGTCAGAACCCAATTGAGTGGACTGCAGAAAAAGAGCCTCATCTTGGCGAATCAGACCGTTCTTCCCCCAGCTTGCTCGCCATTTCTCGTTGGTTTCGAGGAGCTACAAGCTGTGGTTGCTAGGGGACCTGCCTGCAAGGTCCGACTGACGGCGGGTACTGATGATGGCATTCTGTGATTCTCTTGGCCAGGGATTCTCTCCCATAACCGTGCGTCTAAACTCTCGCTTCGCCTCCTCAGACCCAGAGGGAAACAGCCAAGCTCCCTTCACATATCTTTCGACCCTCCCCACTCTCTCGAGGAGAGAGGGAACGGAAGATAACAATATCATATATCAGCTCGGCTCTTTTCCAAGATCGAGCGAGTTTTTGGTCTACCGGCAACGAGTGACTGACTGGCTTGTGTGCGCACCCCCCCTTCCCTCACACCTCGCACATTTACTGTTTTTTTCATTTTTTTTCCAAGACGCCAAGGTTCACTGCACTTATTGTTGCAGCCTAGTCCTCTGACTCTTCTGAGAGTTTCCTACGACTTTTTATTTTTTTAATTCTATTTTTTATTTTATTTTATTTTCAGATTTTTCTTTCCCTCGATACTCTCCCGCTGGTTCACCTGCCCTTGGTAAAAAAATAAAAAAAAGGGAGCAGAAGCAGAGGCCACGAAGCGAACGTGTTCCTAAGCCTGACCCTTACTTTTTGGCAATCCACTCTTTGAAGCTCCAAGCTCATCAACCGGAACTGATAGTGGTGTTACTACTACTAGCCTTGTTGCAACCGTTCCTTTCTGGCTAGCAGATAGCTTCCTTCCACACTTGAGCTCTTGCCGCCCGTATAGTACTCGAGTACACTAAACTCGGGGCTCACGCATAACCTATAGAGCCGTTCGTCTCGTTTCGGTACCCTCCCCGCCATTGGGAACCATATACCGCTCGCTGGTCTTCTGGGTACTTTGTGGTGAACGAACCTCTTGACATCGCTCACAATGGATACATCTAGAAAACGATCTGGGAAGGGTATTCAAAAAGACGAAGGGTGAGTCCTCATAACCACCCTTTCCTCTACCATGAATCAGTTTTATTCTTGAATTATCTTTTCGTCTCCATTCTGTGTCTCCATTCCATACAGTGCTCCTTGTGGTGAGTGTGTTGCGCACGCATCATCCTACGCAATTCTATTCAGACCTTACGCGCACACGTAGACCTCTGATCTGCCCTTGCGCGCACACCCCGCCTTTTTCTTCCCTAATTACATCTTGAACCCCACCTCACTTGCTATTATTCCCCCTTCCCTTTCCTCTGTTTGGGGCTTCATCTTCCTCCCTCACTCGTGTCCTGTGCTTTCTCTCTCGGCGCCCACGAAACACATTTGTACTTGTGGGAACGACTAATGCGAATGGTTGTTTAGTGGTCTTGACACAACCGCCTCTTCTCGACGGGAGCGTGACAAGGGCCAAACCAGATCTCATAGTAGCTCTACAAGCTTGTTGGTGACACCACAAGTGTGCGTCTCTCTCATTTCTCTAATACTCTCATCCCAATCCTCCTAAATACCCCCCCCCCGTCATCCTCGCTTTCTGGTTCTCGTTGTCTCATTTCGTGACCTTTCTTTACCGGAGTTATATAACTTGACTAACCTGGGCCGAAAACTCTCTTCGCAATAGACAATCCACACAGTCCTCAAAAATCTCTCGCCCGGAAAAGGTGGCCAGTGCTGCTAATTGGGCTTCTTCAAGTCCTCCATCCCCATCGCCATCAACCTCTAACACAAGAAAGCCACATTTGGGTCCGTCGACTGTCGGTCAAAAACCTTTACCTGGGACCGGTCAAATTATGGTTAAAAGAAGTACATATCCCACCCCTGACCCGTCACCGAAGAGTCAAACTGCCTCCTCCCTCTCGATGCTCGGAAGGTCCAATACCACCACTCCGGCTGGCGACCCAGAAGTCACAAAGAAACATATCGACAGGGTAAACTCTAGAATGAACCCTATACTTGAAAGTATTGAGGCTACAGGATCCCGGAGCCAGCCTTTGAATGAGGACCAAATGGAAGTCGATCCCCTTCCAGGAATCTTTTGTGATACCACAATGAGCAGCTCTTCCACCGCCAGTGATTCATGGATGGTCGGAGAAGAAATTTCGGACAATGATCCGGAGGTTATAAATTCAATCGATGACCTTGAGAGGGCGTTTGATGATTGCCTTCCAAATTCTTCTGATACCATGGATGGCATCGAAGGTTCAGATAAAGATACACTTTTAAAGCCTGAGGATGTGGCCTCCCCCTTGCACAAACCACTGTTACACACAAGCCACAGTGTACATGAAAGCCCAGAGACCCTTAGGGTGGGTTTGGTCGCGGCGCAAGATCACAAGCACCCCAAGAGTGACTCTGGTATTGGATCAACACAGGGCTCGCCCGGCAACGCATTTTTATACAAAGAATACAAAGGTCCAGACTATGAGGGTAGTGGCCGACTGTTCTTCGGGGAACTGCCTTCATGTGACACTGGGAACCCGGTGAAAGAAGTTTATAGTGTTAGGGTTGAGGGTAGCGGACCTAGCAGAAACGGTATTAGCCCTCTTGTTCGGGCGTTTATAGCTTGGCTGACGATACACCTATCATACAGGATCTCCTGGCTCATCCAGTTGCACGGTTGAGGCTTCAGAAACTATTGCCAATTACAATGGCCACCACGAATCCCCACCTCAACTTGATGAAATTCACACATCATATGGTCCCACTGTTTTTCATTACGGGGAACCGACGCCCCCTGGCTCAGCTATCCGTTCACCATCTGCCTATTCTTTTTTCGAAGTCCGTGATTTCCCGAAAACAAAACAATTGTCCACACAGAGCGTTGAAGCTATGGTCCAGTACATCCTTAATCCCATTCTACTCGATGAAGCTTTCGAAGACTTCTGGCAATTATGTGAGCAAGCGAAGCGTGGAATTTTTCAAGGGAAAATATGCTGGTTACGTGATTTGGAGAAGTTTCTGTTCGATGGCATTCCGGTTGGGTTTCCATTCCTCTTAAGATTACCTTGGCCTGTAATTAATGGTTGCCACAGGCCGTCCGTTCATTGAGCTCATACAAAGCATTCTGCGAAACCTTTTTGAGCAATTGCCAAAGAGCTCTTCCCTATATCCGAGAATTGGACCAACAGCGGTCTTATGACCCGGTCTACTCTTCGGCTTATTTCATCGATGCCCTTCATCGCGCAAAGGAGTCGGCGGATGCTTGGACGGCTGAGAAAAATAAAGTAATGCGCATGGCTAACTACGACAGTCAATCAGTGAGCGAAGAGCTTGACACTTCCGGAAATAACAAAAGGTATTTATAAACCGCACGATACATTTCTCCTCCTATTGCTAAAATCCAATGGATGTAGTAAACTTAAAGATTTTGTGCCACTTCCTAATATTATCTCTTCCGAGGGTCGCAAAAGGAAGATGCCTATTGATATCGGCCACGATGAATCTCAAATGAAAAGGGCATTGACTCCAAACAAAGCAGCCGGATCTGCACAACCCAGATTGGCCATTCAGACCACTGCCCCCCTTGGGTATTTTGACGGTTACCATGACGCACTGCCCTCAAGCCCCCTTCGGGTTGAAAATATCGGATACCCCTTAAACCCTAGATTTGATTTCCCCCCAAGGGTATTGACAGCTGCCCAATCCGGGAAGTTCAGTGAGTACACTCATCCATCGTCTGAGTCGACTGCCGCAAACGCGACAGCTCTCCTCCCCTCGGATGTCTCAGGAGATCATAGAGTTATGACCAGGCACTCTATTGGATACCCCCAGGCTCCAACCCCAGCTGATACCAACTACTCTGGATCGCCAGCGGCTCCGGCATCTTTTGAAGGACACAGTGGCAGTAGTCACGGCACCTCTAGGAGAAAAGCTTCAGTACCAGCTGGTAAGCCTGATGAAGAAGATGCCCCAATTTACCGCTGCGATCAATGCCCCAGAGAATTCCCTAGACCTTGCGACCTAACGTAAGCTCCCCTCAGTCCTTAAAACCTAGAGGATGCTAAAAGAATGTGGAAAATAGAAAACATAAGAAAACCCACGAGCGCCCATTTAAATGTGACGATGAGGGTTGCAAGTACCATATCGAAGGTTTCCCGACCAATAAGGAGCGTGAGCGACACCAAAACGATATACATGTTGCAAATTCAAAGGAATGGAAGTGCACATATTCACCATGCGCCTACAAAAGCAAGCGCGAGAGCAATTGCAAGCAGCACATGGAAAAAGCGCATGGTTACAATTACAAGCGGATGAAGAGGAACCCTCGGAAACGACCAGAACAATTGACGAAGCCAGTAACCTCGGATAAGAAGAAGCGTGGTGCCATCAGAAAGGCGTCAGTTGCGACTTCCAGGTCTACCACAGTCTCCAAGGCAATCAAAGCATCACGATCATCTCGGCCTGAGGCACCCGAAGCCACGGCTTTGCCAGGGCAAGATTCCAATGTCGCTGTAACAACTGGGTTCGATATGTACCAAGGCTACCCTCAATCACCGACTATACATGGAACAAGTGATGAGTACCAACTCCTAGACACTGAGATGCCTCCTACATCATACTTCGATGGGTCTCCTCCAACCAATTTTGTGCCTAGCCCCGCCGATGCTCCAATAGGCTACAATCCTCCTATGGATGCGTACCAAGCCAACCACCCCATGATGGGGAATTCTGGGTGGTTTTCGTCACAGAGTTCTAGCTTTCTGGACCCCTTTCTCTCAGAATTTGAGCAGTCCAGCGCCCCATACGATGACGGTGTTGGTGACGATGACACTGCGGACTGATAGCGCTCATAGCTTGGTTGCATATTTAAGCAGCAGATATATTGACCTTCGCTCCGGCCAGGCCGTGAGATCACGCGGAGGTCCGAATTGCTGCCACCTTTGTCCTCCTAAGACAACCAAAACATCTCCTAAAAAACAAAAAATCAACAAAAAAAAAGAAGACAGACACAGTCCGGATGCTCTTGGCGGGCTATAAACACTTTAGTCTCGATAGGGTTTTCCGTAATTGGAGGTACGAGTGGAGGAATGGGCCCTTTCCCTTGAAGGCGGGAAAGTAAGTATGCAACAGAAAAACAACGAGTGACTCCGGAAGAGCGTAGGCTCCATAGCGGGAGCCTTGTTGTTTTTCTGCTGATGTTGTGTACGGGTTGCATATTTCCAGATATGTAGGGTGGCAGCCGTGTTAGGGGTGTTACATTCTGATTTTCAGCCTAGTAGTAGTTTCCTTCTTGCGATGGCGGTGCGCTGGGGTATGGGTGGTTTGGGATCTCATTCCTATCATTGGGGTTTCCATCTTCAGTTATTTTGACAACTCTTCTTGTTTTTTTCTTAAAATTCTCCTTCAATTATCTCTCCTATGATACTTTTTTGTCTTTTCGCTTTTAACGACCGGTTTCCAAGTCACTTGTTCGCGCCTTTTCATGTCCAAGAATTATGTCGATCCGAGTTGGCGATTTTCCCTTTCAAATATGTTCTTATTTTTATTTTTATTTTTCCCCTGCCTTATGAATCCGAATGCAAGTGCTATGAACTCGGAAGGAAATTATGGACAAGCAGCTCTCCAGGGAATTACCCAGTAGTATCCGCTCTACGTTACCGGTACCACCTTCTATCTTGATACCCCTTACATTTTCAAGTTTATCTCGTAACTATTAAGGGTGAAGTTCACTCCGATACTCGAGTAGTGCTCGACGTTCTACTGAGTATCCCATTCGAGCGGGTAATCGTAGGGATACCACTACCGTCCACCAACACAGGAGAGCAGGGACCCGGAGACAAAGTAATTTGTCGTTGGCCGGACGACCTTATCCAAACCATTAAATTTTTAGTGCCAATACTTCGACCCTGAAGAGAAAAAAACATGAGAATCTGCGGCCGCTTGAGAATGCAAAACTACTGTGCTCGAGTACAAGTACCAGGGTGGGGCTGGTAACTTGCCCCACCTTCCACCACCACCAACCCCCCTCCATTGGCCAAAAAAAAAAAAAGTGCACAAATTGCGGCTCTGTGAGAGAGTCCAGCATTCCAATCGGGTAGTTGGCGCACGGTGCTCCGGGAGAAAACGGTGAGGGCTCAGTCCGCTGCAGTCATACCGCATGAGTCAACCTGTCTATGAGATGTTGTGATGTCCCACCTCATCCAGAGAGCCGATTGACTGACTCGCTGAGACCGGAGGGGGGGTGGGTGGGATGGAAATAGAACGTGAAAAGTGAAGCTCGAATACCGTGGAGTATTGACATTTGACTTATTATGCTTATTACGTTTTACTGTGAGTTTTACGGGAGGGTGGCCGGGGAGAGAAGAAGAGGGTTGCGCTTTTTTTGTCGTGACCATTCACCCTAGGAATCGGTATGGTACCGTACAATACCATACAAGTCTGTACGGTACTTTTGCCTGTCACCTTTTCTTCCTTCCATTCTGTACAGTACTAGTAGAATAAGAAAGTTTATCGGGGAGACGCTCCGTCGGGTGTGGGTAGGTACTCGTAGTTTCTCATGCATCTAAATATGCTCGAATTCATGGTTCGTCATATTGGGTTTTTTTTTTTTTAATTTTTTTAATTTTTATTGTAGATTGCACGGCGGTTTGTGCTGAGGCACAGGCACTTCCATTTTTGTCCAACTTGGGTATCATCGGTGTGGGAAAAACTTAGACTATGATTAATTTAAATTTACCGGTTTGCCCATCAGCTGAATTGCTGATGTCGCGTTAGAGTTCTGCGCGGAGCACAGTCAGCAATTTCCCCAAGTGACAGATTGAGGTGCGGGATGTGTGTGTGTGGTGGGAACTGGAGATAAGATTAGATGGTCTGAGTACGAGTAACTTACTTGTACTGTACTGTACCCCCCTCACTCTAATGCCAAGCGTCAAATGAAGATTACTGTAGCCGGGTAACCTGCGGGAGACTTGGTAATAGCATTGGTGGAGGGGTTTCCCCAAGTTTTATGTGTTGAATCAACAGTTCCACACGTCCACCAGCTAGCGGTCAATACTTCCCTCCTGCGCTCTCCAACCCCCCCCCCCCACCCACCCGAATCAGCACACCGCCAATGCCTGCACCAGCCCCCAAGAAGCGAAAAGTCGTCATCGAGATATCGGATGATGACAATTTCGAGGGGGGATTATCGATCACCACTCTGTCCTCCGCGCCGCAGAGACAGACCAGAGCGTCCACTCGACGCACAGCCCCCAGCTCCACCGCCCCGGCCGCCGTGAACGACTCGATCCCGTCAAAGCCCTTGTCCTCGCAAACCAAGGCTGCTAGGAGGGCTCCAACTTCCGCAAATGCAGCACCACTAAAGCCGAAGGCGAACAACAGTACGGTTAGGAGGTCCACCGCCTCCTTGCAGAAGAAAACGCCGGCCTCGAATAAGCCTATTTATTCATTCTTTACGTCAACACATCGGCCTCCCTCCAGCTCTTCGCAGAATGCGAGGGCGAGTGTTCCACCGGCCTCTCAGAATGAGGATTTTGACGACCTGATTGAGGACGGCTTTTCCGATCATGGGTTTGAGGGGAGTAGTGGTGCTGCATCGGTGGGGACTCGTGCTGGTTCTCTGAGCGGAGCTGGGAGGTTCAAGGTAGGGCGTGGTGGGGCTATGCGGAAGGGTCGGGCGGAGGAGGGTAAGGGCTCGAGCTTTGTGAAGACTGCGTCTGGAGCTCAGATAGTTGGTACTTGCTGCCCGATTCTCCTATTTTTCTCCTTTTAGTTGAGCTAACCCCGGAGGTTCGAAGATCCCCGACCTTGGCCCGAGAGATTTGCCCCGCAGTCGTCGAACTTGCTGGCGGTAAACCAGAAGAAAGTCGCTGAGGTACGCTCCTGGTTTGAACATGTTTTCGACGGTTTTTCGAAACAAAGACTACTGGTATTGAAGGGCTCTGCCGGTTCGGGTAAAACTGCTGTGCTTGAGGTTCTGTCGAAAGAGATGGGCTTTGAAGTGCTGGAGTGGAAAAACCCCAGCGGGGTTATCCCGACAGAAGGACCTGATGAGGGAAATGCTTTCAGCTCCGGCTTGACAGGTGTGTTTGAAGAGTTTGTGGGGCGGGCCGGGAGGTTCGGCAGTTTGAATATGGTTTCCACCGCACCATCTAGAAATAATGCTGGGGGAAAGAAACCTGTGAGCGGTGGACCATTATCAGAAACTGATGAGAGTAAAAAGAAGGTGATATTAATTGAAGATTTTCCCAATGCACTATTTACATCCTCGCCAGCTCCTCTGGCGTCTTTTCGACACACAATAAAATCCTTCCTTGCTCTTCCTACACCCCCTCGCTTCTCGCCTCCGGTGCCTCCTTTGGTGTTGATAATTTCTGAGAGCGCCAATATATCTGGTTCAGGCGCTTTCACTGCTCATCGTTTGCTTTCCCCAGAAATTTTGCACCATCCTTTAGCAACGTCGATTACCTTCAATAAGATCGCTCCTACGTTCATGATCAAGGCCCTATCGGCAATAATCACTCAAGAGTCACGCGAGTCCAGTCGTAGATTTGGGCCTAGCAATCCAGTACTCCAAGCTTTATCCAGCAGCGGAGACATCAGGAGTGCGATAATGGGCTTGGAGTTCTTGGCGGTAAATGGGGAGGGAGGCGCATTTTCGGAGAAAGTGGATTTTAATGAGCGGGCGAAGAGAAGGAAAGCATCGGGAGAAGGTGGCCTGAATGAGGTCGAACGAGAGATCTTGAATACAGTGACACAACGGGAATCAAGCCTGGGGCTCTTCCATGCAGTTGGGAGAGTGGTATATAACAAACGTGAGTTTGATCTTACTGTGCGATTCGATTCGTGTGTGGAAATTGGCTTACCGTTATTACACAGGGTATGGAGATGATCCCGGCGATCCATATATGCCTCCTCCACCGAAACCTCCTTTGCCCCATATTCCGTACAGGGCTAGAGCTTCGCGAGTAGATCTCGACGGTCTGATGGACGAGGCAGGAACCGACCCTCAGACGTTCATCTCGGGGCTCCATGAAAACTACCTTGGTTCCTGTAATCATCTCGGTGGCCTTTCTCGCATTGACTATTCCATGGAAGATTCCCTCACCTGTGCAATTAACTGTATCGAAGGCCTCAGCGACAGTGATCTCTTGGCTTCCCCAAAACCCTACCACCGAATCCTCGGCCGACTCGGCGGATACGAAGGAGGCGACGTGGCAGTAGGATCAGCTGGGATCCGCCAGGATGAAATCTCTTTCCAAACAGCCGTGCGGGGGGTCCTCCTCGGCCTGCCAACACCGGTGAGGCGCGAAAACCGAGATACGAAAATGTACTACCCCACCGCCCTCCGCCTCTGGAGAGACCAAGAGGAAGTCGAAGGCCTAATAGACCTCTTCGCCAAGCGCTCCCAGACCGGCGGCGATTATGGTGACATTGGTGGCGACGGTACCATGGGAACCGATCGCGCGGAGTTGGCGATGGAACGGATGCCTTACTCCAAGATAATACTGAAGGCCCGCCAACAGCGGAAAGCCACCACTGGGCCCTTCAACAGGAGGGTCTTTGAAATGTCTGGCAAATTAACTGGCATAGGCGTGCTCAAGGAGCTGGAGCAGGCCACAAACCTTAAGGGTGTAGCCGCCCGCCGTAGTGAGGACGTCCCCTGCCACGACGACCACGATGGGATGGCACAGGGAGCATCATCAGACGAACTGGAAGCAGCAGACGAGCGCAACAGACTACACTCGCGAAGGTATAATACCGCGCGGAATTACAAGAAGAGCGGCAGGTCTAAAGACCTAGACGCTACCGTGCGCGTGGAAAGGCTGGTCCTTAGCGATGATGATATAGAAGATGATTGGTAGGGGAAAAAAAATCTCATTGGAATTGATTGAACTATTGTATTGTAGAGTTGCGCTGGGTCTGGGCTGTTTCTAGGTAAAAGGAGGATGGAAGGGGTGGTGGTACTTGCTTGTTTTTGCCTGTTTTTCTTTATTCTAACAGCATGGGATGGGCGCCTGGTGGCTTTTTATATTTTATCTTTATCATGCTAGGGGGTTGTGTGTTATATTATATAGTAGTCATGATATGTCACTCGGAAGTGTTCCGGTGTTTTGCTATGTGCAAGTGGTGTTTTTGAATCGGGATTGTTGAGCAACGGTGTTGCAACGGGGGTGGGATAGAATGGATGGTGTGGAAAAAAAGTAATTTTTGTAAAGATATTACGGTCGATAGCGATCTATCACTATATACCGTACAGTGTTGTATCAATGGTATGGGTAAGGGACATCAAAGAATCATACCGAATACAATATTTTGGGAAGAGAGTGTCGCTGGACTTCAGCTTCAACCCCCAAAAAAGATTTTCAACTATCATACTGTTCCGATCACACCTCTACTGTGATGGGCAATAGAATGGGTGATACCCCACGCATTGAAAGAGAGAGGATGGGAATATCTTAAGCTTTCATGGAGGCATTAGGGTATACATACAAGTGGGTCGAATTATTGATATGATAATTATGGTATCATACAGCTATCATACATAGGAGCATCGGATCATACATGTGATAGGAGTATCGGACTGTCGGGGACATGTCAACTACTGTTAATTTCCTTGGCAAAAATAATTTATGGTTATTTTGCCAGGGTATTAACGTGTAATGATGCCACGCTGAACTCGAATGAATGTCCGTCTGCCCCGCCTACGGAAGCTCTCGCCCTATTACCTGTATTAAATTTATTATACCTTGTTTCCGCGCAGGGTGGGTGGGTTGGTCGCATAATGTCTGATTCAATTCTACAGACTTGTAGCAACACTTTCAAAGGAAAGATTTCATTTCATGAGTAGAGCAAATTGCTATTGCCCAAAGTAGACATGATGAAACCTTGCATGCACGAACCCTAACAAACAAAAACAGCTAGATATCATACCGGTATCATAGGTTATCATACTAAATAAATACAGTAGCCAAGAAAACAGAAAACCCGAAAACTCAAGGCAAGATTTGTGAGAACGAAAGAGGAAGAATAGTGAACCCGTGATAACAATAGGAACCGTTCCCGCGCCAAAGTTAACCCATAAGTGAGAGCAACATAATCAGAAGAGATAAAATGGAACCGAGAAATAACCTCCACCATAAATAAAATAAAAATTGGGGAGGGAGAGGAGATTGAATAATTAATGAGGGTACAAGCGTTACTTATTCGAATTGTCTAGCCTGGGGATCTGCCATTTACCTGCCCTTTTTCCCCTTCTTCTTTTTCGGTTTGTTGGTTGCCCTATGAGCGGGCTCAGTGTGTGAGGACCGTCCTCCCGTCTTAGGTGATGGGCTGGTCGGGGTGGGGGGCATTGATTCTGGGGTATTAGGCCTGGAGCATTCAGCCAGTGTTTCCCCAACTTTGGCTTCATCGGCGGTAATCGATGGGGAGTCGCGCTTCTCGCTCATGCTAGCAGAGTGGCGAAGGTTGCTAAAAAGCATATTTCCAGGAGAGGCCCCCCTAGTTTTGCTACCAGACAGCGAGGGCTTACTGAGGCCCATTCTTGACATCCCGATAATAGCGCTGACAGGCTTTGGCATTGCTTCGCCATCCTCGGACTTGATATTGCCCGTGTCGGGCATCGGGTCATCGCCCTGAAGCTTGCGCTCTTCGGCCTCAGGTGATGGCTCCAGAGCCTTCGGCTGATCAGCTCTTTCGTTTAGTTCTGTGACCTCGGATTTTGGGTCCACGATGATAGTTTCTGATTCTTGGACTGCAACCCCTAGTTCATCCCTAGCTACTAGCTCCTTGGTGGTCGACTCTTTGGCATTTGGCTCCTCAGCAGTTGGGTCTTCGGTCCTTGACTCCACGAAGGCTGGCTCCTCGGCCTTAAGCTCCTCGACAGCAGCGATTGACTGCCCAGTCTTAGAATCTTCAAGCTCAGTGCCTAGCGCCTCCCCCTTTGACTCCATAATCTGAGGGACTAGTTTAGCAAACTTTGGATCCACTTCGGTATCCCTGGTGGCCCCCAGCTCATTGAGGGGCGATCCCTTTACTTTAGAGACTTCGGCGGCAGCGAACTCCTCGATCATTGAATTTTCGATTTTTGGTTCTTCAATCGCTGGCTCCACGGCTTCCATCTCAATCGCTAGGGGGTCTTGAGCTATGGGCACCTTGGTAGAGGGAGCCCCCGCCTTGGATTCACCGATCGGAATGTCATAGAGGGCGGGATGTTCAATTGGAGCTCCTTCGAAGTTTGGGATTTCGAGAGTGGAGCCGTTAAGTGCGTCGTTGATCACCAGCCCTGCAGCGGTCGATGTGGATGTATCCCTATCAGCTATCATATCTGCAGCTGATACGGAGGCGGCATCCGGGCCCTCTGGAAAGGAAATTGGATTCTTGGGGTCCACCTCAATCGGGGTGTTGGTTGATGGAATATTTGGGTTATCTACGAGCGGCTCGCTGGATCGCTCCTCGAGGCCCTCACCAACAGCCTCGGCGGGGTTCTCCTCTTTGTTGTTTCCGTTTTTTTTGTTAGAGAGTTCAGGGACAGGCACATCCGTTGACGCTCTCTGGGGGGTCTCAGCAGTAATTGTGTCGGGGAGGCTCTCACCCTCTGGTTTGAAAGCCAGTGGAGCTGGCTCCAGTTTGGCGGCAGGAAGAGCGACAGCTTCACCTTCCACAGCGTTTTGTAGATCCTCAGTTGGGCCCCCCTGTGTAACAGCCCGGTTTTCATCATCGGCGATCATAAGGTCGTCTGTTTCTGTTGGCATTTCTTTGGCTCCCTCGATATTATCTACTATTATTAGCTTCGTGAATACAACTGGGTTGTATTATAACCAGGAAAGTGCTAATCTTCTGAATTTGTGTGTCTCACCTTCGGTTGCCAGTCCACGGCCTTCGGGAGCCGGAGCTGTCCGAGGAAGGCTAACGGGGTGGGCGGTGTTACTAAGCGCACTAACATCGGGTTGTTGCTCAAGAGCTGTCTCAGCGGTGTCGTCGGTTCCCTCTGTTTCACTCGTAGTTGAGGGAGCGGCAATGCCTTGATCTGGAGAGACGACATCCGGCTCTGGGGACGCAACGAAACTATCGACGGAGTTTGGGTCGACCACGCTGAGTGATTCGTCTTCTGCTGTTTGGGTATTTATTAGGGCCTGTTGAATTACCCTCTCAATATCAGTCTCCTCATCTCCCCCCCATGCCTCGTTATCTGCAAGAGCAGCCTCAGTAGGTGTCTTCTCATTAGGAGAAGTGGTTTCAACGTCAGCTTGATGTTTGTAATCGGGGCTCTCAAGCTCTTGGGACTCTTGATTCTTTTCGCCAGCTTCCAGGACAAGTTGGGGTAATTCCTCCTCGGGCGCGATGAGATCCGCCGCATTTTCCTCTCTTGAAAGCTTGTCGGCGGCCTCTGTTTCTGCGAGGTCGGCAGCCGTGCGCGTGGTTTCTTCGGCGGCTGCCTTATCGGCTGCCTCCCTAACCTCTCGCTCAGCGTTTTGGGCTACCAGCCGTTCAGCTTCTTCCCTAACAACCCTTTCCTCTTCTCTCCTCACCATTGCCTCGGCCTCCTCTTTCACCTGTCTCTTAGCTTCCTCTTTTGCGCGAACATCCGCCTGTTCCTTCAGGGGCCTCTCCTTAACCTCCTTACCAGTAGCCGTAGCCTTATATCCATCCTCACCTTCCGGGACGGGTGAGAGTCTGCTATTTTCCTGTGTCGTGACGAGTTCCGCATCAATAGGAAGCGCGGGTACAGAGCCCAAAGGGCTTGTCTCGACACTTCGCTGAAGGGCTGGCAGGCAATCCATGTATAGAGCAACGCCTTTTGAGAAAACTAAGCCATTATCTAGGAAGGCTCCCGGACGATGTAACGAGGGTAATGTTCCTTCGCGGGAAAAGACCGGGAGCAATGGAAGGATGATCTCGTGCCGGCACCTAAGAGATTTGAGTTGGGCGACAAGGGCCGGGTTGTCTGCGTATGGCTTTTCATTCTCGTAGAAGTGCCCAAGCCATGAATTCTGGTTTGTCCTATCTAAAGACATTGAGGCGGTAAAGATTTCGCGCTCAATGCGGGCGTGCCGCCAAGTCTCAACCGCAAATTTCACGATCCTCGAAATACCGGATGTAATCACGTCCATTCTCTGCTGATCCGCGAAAGGTTTGACGTGCTCGGCAATCTCCTCGATCACATTGGCCGCAGCCACACCGGCCGTCCTCTTAGCATTCGATCCCGAGTACCCAACGAGAAGAGTATAGTAACGCCAGGTCGCTTCCCTCCGGGTAGACTTTTCCCGAAGCTGCTTTGACATAATCTGGAAAAAGTTGTCCGCTTTGTCATACCGTTTTCCTAGATAGAATAGGAATGGCTGGAAGATCCTGTAACAGAGATATTTGGAGATAATATGTTGGACATACGCCATGCGAATGAGGCGAGAGGCATCGGTGTTCACAAGCATACATGGTAGCCCAGATGGAAGTTCCGCGAGAATTCTCTAAAGGGAGGATGTAATGTTAATAAATTGAACCGAGTGACTGAGGGTGATTCGCAAGAGGGAGGGGTACATACTCCAGTGGGGGGTATGGGCAGGTTCGAAAATTCCTTCGAGAGATCAATAATGTCCTTAGACAGCTTGGTGAAAGCGTCGATGCTGGTTAAGGTTAGTCAAGGTTTAGGTATTCACCACGGAGGGCAGGGAACTCACTAATACCCATCACCCCGACCCTTCCTGTCTTCCCCTTCTTCTTCCTCCGCGGTACGTTTAATTACCTCCTTAAGCGATCTAACTTCCCTTCTTAAGGCGTCACGCACATTCCCCAGATCCTTTACTTCAGCCTCTAGCTTCTGTTTTTGCGCCTCCAACTCCGACTTCTGATGCTGTGCCTGGGATATTAGTGACGCCTTGTCAACTTCTAAGGTTGCCACAGCATCTTCGAGAGTCGCTTTCTGACCAAGGAGTGCAGATCTATCAGCGCTCAGCGATAGATTAACTTTCGCCGCAGTGCGTTTTTTTTCCTCTAGAGTGTGGATCATTTGATCCAATCCTGTTTTCTCATCGTTAAATTTTGCAGTTATTTCCCTTTTCTCCTTCCGCCATTCCATCTTTGCCGATTCGAGGGCCTTTTGCAATTCTGATTTTTCGGCTTCAAAAATTTGACGAAGGTCCTCAATCTTCATATCAAATCGGAGCTCTAGGGTGCGTTTCTGCGAAGAAAATCTTTCCTCGATTTTTCGCTTTTGCGAAGCGAATTCTGTTTCCATTGAATTCTTCTCGGCGGTGAAGGAACCTTGAAGCAAAACCATTTGGTGTGCAAAGCCTTCCTCCAGCTTCTCCCTTTCCGAACCAAAGACCGCTTGCATACTGCTCTTCTCGGCGGAGAATTCAGTTCGCAACCGTTCAGTGTTGTCGTGATGGGATTTCTCTAGACTGCTAACGGTAGATTCGTGGGTTTGCTGAGCCATGGCCAGTTCACCCTTGTGACTATCCTTTAATCGCCGAATTTCGTTCGCATGGGCTTCCTCAAGCTTCTTGGAGCTAGCCAAATGCATCTCCTCCATCCGGATTTTATCGGCGGAATGAGATGCTTCGATGGAGCGTTGTTTGGAGAGGAATTTGGCCTCCATGATTCTCTTTTCGGCATCGTGAGCTGTGGTGATGGAATGCCTGTCCACTTCATGAGCTTCGAGTATATCCCGCTTCCAATTCTTGTATTCCACCGTCAACGCTTCTTTCTCAAGAGAAAGTCGTTGCTCTAAACGTGATTTTTCCTCATCCTTATCCTCCACTGTCTCCGATAATCTTCGTACCTCGGCCTCTAGGTTGGAAAGCTGCCTCTTCAACTCATCAAGCTCCGCAGCGCTCATATCCAAATTTTGTTCCAGATCCAGTTTTACAGCCTCCAATTCAACCTTTTTCGCTTCTAGTTCCCGCATATCTTTTTCCTGCTCGTCAGCAATATGCTGGAACTTCTCCAGCTCATCATTGACAACCCTATGCCGATCACACAGGTGCTGCAGACTATGGATTGGCATAGTGAGTGACTGCAGGGCGCCTTGGGTCCTCTGGATTAGTCCGTAAATATTGCCATGAGGGTCCGCGTCATAAGCAGCGGAAGGGGAGAGTGTGCCGGAGGCACTTTGACCAGAGTAGATAGGGTTGTCGTCCACAGGATCCTCATACCCGTACACTGAGCCTGCGCTGGACATAGGGTAAGTATGGGGATACCCTTGCGAGCTAAGTCGGCGGAGTGGTTGTGAGTGCTCTGGTGTATTCATGACGCCTCCTCCTGCTTGATATCGTTGGGCAAAGGATGGGCGACGCGGCTGTAGGTGACCATTTGTTGAAGATGCGTACTGACTACCATATTCGCTTCTGGGGGATGTGTAATTATGTAAGGTTCTGGGGGGTAGATAGTGGGCGGGAGCCTGGGGCGTTTGCTGGTAGTAAGTAGGGTGGATTGCCGTGCCTGGAGGAGTTTGTAGGGGTGAGAGGGGGTAATGGTATGGGTGGGGTTGACGTGGTCCCATAGAAGGGGAATCAGGGTAGGTAGGAGATCGAGGTTTGGCTCTAACATGTCTTGCGGGAGGGTCACCCATAGTCATTCTGTCAGTCGACGGAATCTTTTCCGGAAGCGTTTCGGCTGCCCCAGTGTTTGTGTCAACAAGAGCGGCAGTGCGCGGGAGTGGAGATTCGGGCAAAGGGGTATCGGCAGGAGAGGTGTCTCTCAATGGGAGTGGTATAGTGGAAGCCATTGGGGATGTCATTTTCTCGTTTGCAGATTCCAAAAGCGTAGGTCAAGAATAGAGAATAGGGGTGGGGGGGGGGTTATTGAGCTAAACTGAGCGGAGAGTTTGAAGCTGGGGAATAGAGAGAGCTACAGTCAATATATTTGCCATGATTAGCCTACAAGTTAGGCAGAGCAGGGGGACAAAGGTGTGTTGAAGGCCGGTATATGACGCAAACCCACGAGGCTTTCAGTGTAGGAATAAGGAGGAGTAGGGGAAAAACCAGGAGACCGATTGAGCACATACCGCACATGAGGCCTAGATATCTCGTTCCCGAAGACCCCCTTCGTGCATAGAAAGGGAAGGACTATAATTTCTCTAGCAAGTAATTGATTGATGTCAGCTTCAGATAACAGATGAGGGGCAGCGAGGAACGGAATGCCTAAGTGGTTTGGCGGGCGGGGGGGCAACTAAAGAGACTGTAGGGATAAAAAAAACAAACTGAGTGTAGATATCAAATTGAACGGCTTCCAGCAGCTAACTAACCTTCCTTTCGAAACCGGGCAAACAAAACGCCTGCAATGACCCGAAAGGAAATCCGCGTTTCAACAAAGACTTGCAATTGGAAAGATGCTAGCGGTTGGCTGGGCAGTGTAATTGAGGAGCGCAAGGCTTATAAGAAAATTTGGCGGAGAGATACAGACCATTTGATTTGATGAACGAGCCACCATATTGAAAACCTGACGGGGGGAGCTTTGGAATCACTCGAGTAGATGGGTGTGAGGCAGATTTGGGGGGAAACATGGGGTGGGAGAGAGGGAGGTGATGAGATGGTGAGATGGTGAGTGTGGAATAGGCAGGCGACAGATTGATGATAGCTATGGCCATGCTCTCCGGGCCCGCTCAACGGTAAAGGTATAGCCGTGATAAATGGCTAAACTCCAGCAATGCTATGAGCCGATATACTGTAACAACCAGATACATTCTAAGGGGCTAGACCTCACAAACAAACAACAGTGAAGTGAAGGTGAAGAGATGAGGCGGAGAGATGATGGCAGTGCTGTACTGTACGAGGTACAGTACTGCAGCACGGGTAAAAACTTGTGGTGCGAGTAATGCTCCACACAGATAGGGATCCACATATTGCCACACCCCCAGATTAACAACCCCCGCGGGCCCCGCCCGAGTGATTTGCTATTGGAAAAAAGGGAAAAAAAACGGTTCGCAGGACAAGCAGAGGGAGGATGCAGGGTGGATTTGGAAGGCATGCTCATAGGAGCGACGTGGCACCTCACGGTTCATTGCTTCACCATTTCAGTCTAATTGTCTATTATTCAAGAGTGACAGGGGGAAGCCCATTTTATTCTGTTGGTCCGCGACGGCCATGTTGTCAATTTAACTGCATGTGTCGAAAGCGGTAACCCTAATCCCCTCTGTTGATCAGCGCTTGCAATGGGGGTACTCGAGTAGAGTACGGTACAGTACTAGTACTGTACTCGTGGTCTGCCTCATTTACACTTTTCAATGGGGGGGATTGTGGGCTCCCACAAGTGTCGAGCTACTCTGCAGTGATTGTGGTTGGGATGTGGAGGAGAACAAGGTGGACTGCGATAGTCTCACTGTACCGTACCGTAGTCCTCTCGAGTACTGTACTCGGACGGTGGAGGCCATGGTAGTGCCGTGCGAGTACAGTACTCGTACAGTATGATCATGCAAAGCCGTGGTGGTGTATGCTTGAGTACTCGAGTATTGAGTGCTCAAAGGGAGTTAGGGGTAATTAGTCTAAGGAAGCTCGGCCTAAGTTAAAATACACCTGCATGCAGGGCCTAAATCTCCCGCGGAAAGCATCAACCTGCGGATTCTGTCTGGGAAACGAAAGGCCTAAAGCCCCACCACCCGGCTGCCATCCGCATTAGCCGCCACCCCCCGTAACGGCACCACTCGTGTTACTCGAGCGGTGCTCCTTGGGAACCTGATGGGGGCGAGGGATTGATCCATTGAATTCCATACTGTGCAGTAACTTGCACGAAGAGTGCTATTGCCATTCCAGCACCCCAAGTATATAAGGCCCGAAGCTTATGAAGCCAAAAGAAGGCTCTACACGAGTATATACCATATGCTCGTTAGGCCATCACATGGCTATCGGATGGCCTAAATTCACGGTACAGTGCAGTGCAGTGCTCGAGTACCCTATCGGCACTCGTACTCGTACATATTATACAAAAAAACCTATCAATGCATTAGCCACTACGCCAAACGACAAGCATTGCTAGTGCTCTGCCTCCCGCATAATTCCTCAGGCTGAGTGGGAGCTTCCAAGTGGTTGTGTCTTTCCCCCAATGTGGAGACTAATGAGTGTCTAGGGCAATAGGAAACATTTCTTTGAGATGATCTGAGCAGGATTGTCGGCCACCCCATCGGACAGGGAACCTGTCAATTCCTGCCCCGAGAGATTTGGTTCCGAGATAAGGTTACCACTATCTGGGCGAGATTTGGGGTACCGCTGATGCAGAGTATCGCTTGCCCCAGAAAATCTGGGCTGGGTTACCGGGGTGGATGGTCGTCTACTCGGGAGGTCCGAAGGGGGAGGGGCGTTCTAGGATACTACTTCTCGGGCACCACACTGGTGAAGACTGTAGAGCCGCTCCAAGCGCGGCGAGATGATTCTACGAACTATCACGAGCTGTCGTCACAGTTGATTCCAGTGTCCTGTATGGGGAGCGCTAACCCGATTTAGGTCTGCCTGGTTTTGCGAAAGTTAGGAGAGAGATTTTGGGTCCGCCTTGCAGAGAGAAGCACCGCGTGGAAAGGGTCCGAAGCGAGGATTATCTAGGGGTGGCATGCTGTGCTGTTTTGGAGACACTTCTATGAAAGACTGTCGTCGTGTGTTAAAAATGCGATGATGCTCAAGTTTTCTAAGCGAGTGTGTGTGTGCGTGCGTGCGGATGTTTAGAATATCCGTACCGGCATTCCGGTGTTGGATGCATAGGCTATGCACTTGTATGGGCTGGGGTAGTTGAGTACCGGTACTGCACTGTGCTCGAGAAGCGGTGGTTCAGCATTTTCTTGGAGTGGCGCATTGATTGTTCAGTTGTGGGACAGAACTCGGGCGGGTATTATCAAGCTGTTTGGATAATTTCAATTTTTGATAGGTTCTTGGGGGTTAATGAAGGTCTGTTTTTTTTCATATAATATTACCCGGAGAGGTTCCGGGGAAGTGCGGAGGGAAGGCAATACTCTATGACGTCTCAAAGACAATAATGACCGAACATTGAGATAGGCCCCAGGAGGGCATTGGTGATGACTCTAGTCGTCAAAAGCGCACGATGACACAAAAGACAAGCGCTAGAATTCAAGTTCTTCCAAGGTAGATATTCGAGTGTTTTATGACCAACGCAAGGATATGGACGTTGCGTCCGGCCTCTGCAACCCCGGGCATTGATTGCCATAGCTAGAGCTTCAAGCCCCTAGGATGACCCAAAGCCCCCCTTAGTCAGTTTATCGCTGTTGGAGACTGCGACTCCACTTTTTTCCCTTTGACTTCTTTTGCTTGACGAGACAATCTTGCCAAATCTCCCATATCTCCTCACTGTACTCCAACGTGTTAGAAAGAAAGTCCACAGGATCGTCGCATGCAAGGAACTCGGCGGCTGCTGGATGCGATGCATCTATCCGGGAGAGAGTCGAAGGGGGGAGACCAGGGACGCGCAGGGGTTGTGAAAGAGGTCAATGACCACCAGACCCTCATTTGTTACCAGACGTTGGGACTGTGTGATTTTGACACGTTGGAACTGTACGGTACAATCGGTTGAGAAGAATGTGAACCCGATTTCCGAAGATGGACCACTAAGTGGCTGAGATTTAGAACCTGCAGATGTTCCGCAGACAGGCAATTAGACAAAGCGAGATGAGAAGGATCGGTGAATACTGATGAGCTGCTGGATGGAGCGGTTGAAGGAGATTGAACTTTTCCAGATAGTAAGAGTGGTGTTGACAGAGATTGAATCTTGATACACAAGGGAGGTGAGGAGAGATGAGGCCGAGGTTGCTATGGTTGAAATAACTTGAAAAGTGGAGGAGAGTGGGCTGCTTTGATGCTGGAGAAACTTGGCTCGCATCCGCGGTCGTTGATCCCCAGTTGATAGAATTGCGGGATCAGGATGAAGAGGTAGAAGAGGAGGGGTGGAAGGACAGCCCAGGAGGCCATGGAGAATTTTCGAGCATTTGAGCTATTGCTACGGCAGCAGATGGGATGGATGAGGCTTTATTTAGGTGTTTGGTTGGGGGGTGAACCGAGGGGCCGAGGGCCGAAGATCTTGGGGGGGTGGGCAAACTTTTTTAAAGCATCTCAAGATGGCGGAGCGGACCTTGCGAGACGCTAGCTAGGGTTATCACCAGGTGGCAAAATGTTAGAAATTCATCAATCGCCAACACAATTGGGTCTTGAAATCATGGAGACGATGATTTGCAGGAGGCTCAAGGATGAATCGGAAGAACCATGTATGACATTGTAGAATACGTAGCCGAAAACACCCTTTTTTTTGCTTTGAAATGCGATAATGGATTAGGGTGGGCATGATACCAGCAATGGTATCATGCTGTGCTGGAAACAGCCAAGATCTCCAGGTCTTTGATGAGTCAGCCTTGGAATCGCTGAGACATCTCTTTGTTTGGGATAGCATTTCTCATCCTTAGCGAATGTCTATGTGAATTGGAAATAAAATGCTATTATCTTCGGGACAAAGGCGAACGCCGGGACTGTCGACATTGTGGAAGTATCGAATATAAGGTAAACAACTATCCTCGGGTGGCTGAAGGGCCTTTTATTCTGCCTTTGTGTGCTATCAACAGAAGTGGCGGTCTACTCTACTGCGCGCTATCATAATATATCATCGTTGTCTCGTTAAGTTAGACTTAACTTACCATAACCTAGGGTAGGCACCCCAATCCCCCCGCCCCACCTCCTGCCTGCCATCCGAGCCCAAATACTAACTTGGACACCACTCTGCACGCTTCGCTCTCCCCCCTCCACCACCCCACTAACACCACCATTCCTACTACCATTACCACTACCTTCACCACCACCACCACGACGCAGCTACTACCATCATATTCATCAACAGTTCCATATACACCTGCTTTCGCAGAAAATCTCGACCTTGGAGCTAGATAAGCGAAGTGAGGTTACCTTCGCTCGCTTCCGTGGAACAGAGGGACGAAGCAAGTAACCCCTCGTCCCGTGCTGTGCTTCCACCTTTCTAACATCACTATATCCTCAGGGTTCGGTCCTCGCATTCTAATCAGTCCTATCTTTCCCGAAATTATACTCAACCCTCCTTGTCCGTCATACCTACTTCATTTTTGGCTCTTTTCGTAGCCTTTCTGCCGTAACAAGCCTCTCCATCCTCGGCCCGTCAAATTTATCTGAAATTAACCCTCAACCGCTTCAACTCCTCAATAATTTTCATCCTTCTCTTATTCCTTGTTGAATTATCTACTTCGACGTAACAATGGTCGATGGCGAGATAGCGTCGCCGACGTGGAAGTTTACACAGTAAGTTCGCCCTCTTGGTTGCTTCGTTTCGCGTGGTGTCTATTTTTGGTGCGGGGCAGGGGGTAATCAAACCCCACTTCCCCGCTGATATCATAGATGGGGCCCCATATAGTCAGTATGGATCTGGAATATATATCATGGTGAAGAGATGGAAAACTGACCGGGTACGTTGACAACAAGGTGTTTCGGGGACAAGGGAGATGTAGAAGATATTACTGAGGGTGGGTTCCACCAAAAGATTTCACCTCCCTGGTTTGTTGCTGACACCTGGATCACTCGCTCCTTAGCCGACATAATATCCACTGTTGAGTTCGATCATACTGGCAACTATCTAGCTACGGGAGATAAAGGTGGGCGTGTGGTGCTGTTTGAGAGGAATGAGACAGTAAGATTCTCCTTGGAATTGCCGTCGAACGCTCGTTGTGCCGGATTTGAAAACTTTAGCTGATCAAAACTCTCCCGCCCCCGATAGAAAAAAACGTGCGAATACAAATTTCACACTGAGTTCCAGTCACATGAACCAGAGTTCGACTACCTAAAATCTTTGGAGATTGAGGAAAAGATAAACAAGATCAAGTGGTGCAAGCGTCAAAATGCTTCTCATTTTTTGCTCTCTACGAACGACAAGACCATCAAGTTATGGAAAGTTTTCGAAAAGTCTCTCAAGGTGGTAGCGGAGAACAACTTATCCCATGATGGCGCTTCTCCCTCCACCGGAGGTGTACGACACCATCTTGCACAGCCACCCCCAACCTTTAACAATTCATCTGCGCTCCGGCTTCCGCGACTAACGCACCACGATACCGTGGTGGCAGCAGTCCCCAGGAGGACTTACGCAAATGCCCACGCTTACCATATCAACAGTATTTCGGTAAATTCGGATGGAGAGACTTTCATTTCTAGCGATGATCTACGCATCAATCTTTGGAATCTCAATATTCAGGATCAGAGCTTCAACATTGTGGATATCAAGCCGGCAAATATGGAGGAACTAACAGAAGTTGTAACCGCTGCAGAGTTTCACCCACAATATTGTAACTGGTTCATGTACGCCAGTAGCAAGGGGACCATAAAACTTGCAGATATGAGGGAAAGCGCTCTTTGCGACCAGCATGTGAAATGTAAGATTCCGCTTTTGCTGTTCGTCAGCCTCACGATAACGCGTAGAATGGTCGATGCCTAATCTGCTTTGCTGCGCAGTGTTCGAGCAGGAAGAAGACCCAACATCGCGTTCGTTCTTTTCGGAGATTATCTCGTCGATCTCTGACGTCCGATTTTCCTCCGACGGTCGCTATATTCTCTCACGCGACTACTTGACAGTCAAGATCTGGGATATCAATATGGAGAACAGACCTGTCAAAACTATTCCAATTCATGAGCATCTACGGCCTAGGCTTTGCGACACTTATGAGAATGATTCGATCTTCGACAAGTTCGAGGTTGTGTTTTCAGGCGATGGGAATAATGTAATGACTGGATCGTACAACAACAACTTTATGATTTACCCTAGCGATCCCGAGAAGGAAGTTGAGGTTGTCTTGCAGGCGGACAAGAGTGCCTTCAAGGCGAAGAAGGTCGGCGTACCAACTCCCATCAACGGTGGAAAGAAGGGCGGTTCAAGGGCAGGAAGTCCTGCTGCTGGGTCTGGTCCAGGAGGTCGGATGAGAAAGGAAACAGATGCGGATCAAATTGATTTTAATAAAAAGATCCTGCATATGAGTTGGCATCCGTTTGAGGACTCGATTGCTATCGCAGCAACAAATAATGTAAGCCCCAATTCTATCTACTGTACTATGCCCGGACGTACCACTGACACCCTATCCCAGTTGTTTGTCTTTTCAGCACTGTAGATTGGATAAATTCTGAATTGGGAGGGTTTCATTCGGTGGATTTGAGCGTTTTCCGTGTTTCCATTTGTATCGATTGCCAGTAGTCCATCGTGTGTTTAGATGACTTTCCTCAACTGAGTATTTAACTTGCTCGTGGTAGACTTGCTACAATTGACCCCTTCTTGATGTTAGATTTGTGTGATTAGCGATTCATGGAAGCTCCCTGTGGTTTGGGCTATGGAGCCCACATATCGATCGTGAACGGAACTACTGTTGCGATGAGAAATTTGACTAACGGCGCTGGTCGCTGTAGTATCGTACCTCCACAATTGGTAAGCACAGCTAGAGGGGCGAGTCCTCCCAGAGAATCATGCTGGATGGAGCTTTGACTGAGTATCGGGGTTGGCGCTGGCTGACTCTCGGACACACCTGGCTTAAGGGATCACTTATTAAATCATTTGTGCGAAGTAATAGTTCGTTCAATAGTTCCATCTGTTTTTCCGACGAGGAAAACTAAACTACGTAGCACGAGGAGCCAAGCCGAAACCAGCTCCTGACACCGAATGCAGCCGGTAATAACACATCCGTAAGTGATACTGTACAAGTACAGTATGATAGCCTACTTTCTGAATCTTACCACACTTTGTGCTTTATGGGAGTGATACTTAGAGTATATTATAGATATACTTGTAATACCAGTATTCAACATTTTTGTGGATAAACCCTTGAAATTCGCTATCTTGGCCGCGCCACGAATATCCCTGTAAATCGTGATACAAGTACAGTATCAGCAACCCAAGACAGCTTCAACTTAGCCAGTTAACAGGATTGCGAGAGCCGGTTAACGATATCCAACACAGTCAATGACACGGGCTATCCCATGTACGGAAGGCGCTAATCCCTCTCAAGGACCTTTGTCTCTAAATCCCGAGATTAGTGGCCTAGCGGAGATTGGGTATCATACTTGTACGAGTATTTACAAGCAGCCTACCGATTCTCCTTCAGATAACAGGAAAGCCACCTGTTTTGAGCGTTGAAAAAAAGCAAGTAAAAGTGGAGATAACTCGCTCGATTCACGTCATAGCGCAGAGCGAGAGCGTTATGGAGTTCAGCTAGGTTGCGGCTCGAGGGATCCTGTCTCTCATCACGAGTTCGACATGACGTGCTTCCGCCCCCATCACCGACCGATTGCACCCATATTATACCTTTCTATTCTCTACTTGTACAGTACAACCTTGGCCGGGGGTGGGGATCCATCTCATTTCCGCAATCTCATTTCCTCTACCCCACAGGCGAGCCAGCCGATCGCGATGAGTGAGGGACTGATCACAACCGACTTTATGATATCGTATGTCTTGGTGCAGTACTGTACTGTACTCGTACATGCCCCCCCTTATAGCTAACAATATCCGGCCCGTGTCTACTCAATTACTCGAGTAGACTACCTCGTCCTTTCTCTCCTCCATCCTCCCACCTGCTATCGCTCGTTTGCTTCTTCTGCCGTCTGTCGCTCCCCTGGACACAATCTCTCGCTCCTGGTCCCTCGTTGTTCTCTCTCCCCTTTTCGTCCGCTATAGCTGTCTTTGCCCGGTATTCCATTCGCTTGGAAATATACAAACAGACATATATCAAGCATTTCGGAATTTTTGGGTAATACTGTATCGCAATGCGTTTCTTCACTGTTGCTCTCGGCACCGTTGTCGCTTTCGCCGCTCTCATTTCTGCCCAGACTACCACAGGAACCGGTCCTCCCCCGCCTGCTGTCACGGATAGCACGGAGAACCAGATAAACGTTCCCCCCGGTGGCACTATTGCTTCTGGGTCTGGCATTACCATCAGATGGTGAGTGAGATTCATGATTTGGAAATTGGAGTTTGAAGGGCCTTTGGACTGACAATGAGTGGCATACTAGGACTCCATCTACTCCAGGCCCGGTCACCCTTATTCTAAGGAGGGGTGACGGGAACAACCTCGCCACGGTCACCAATATTGCAAGTGAGTTGCTCTAATCTCAAAGGAGTGTTGCTCATGCGAATTGAGCAACAGGGCATCCCGGTGAAGCCAACGGGACTTGTGAATGGGATACAGGGCTCACGTTGAATAGGTGAAATTCCTAACTCGGGTTCATATGACTGGACACCATCAGAATCTCTGCCTGTTGGCGATGACTACTCCATCCAAATCATCTCTGGAAGTGCTTCCAACTACTCCCCCAAGTTTGGAATTGGCCCGCCAGTTTCAACTTCGTCATCTTCGACATCCACTACTACCAGCACCGGGAGTTCTTCAACCTCTTCGTCAAGCTCCAGCAGCTCTTCGACCATCACGTCGAGCTCCTCTTCCAGCAGCGCCACTACAAGCGCTACCTCAAGCGGAGCTAACACAACCATCTCCTCGACCTCGCGCACTTCATCTCGTAGCATCCCAACCTCCACCAGTTCTGGCGCCACCGGGGGTGCAACTAGCACCAACGGTGCCGCACAGGTTGTGTCTCCTCTCGCCTTGGTCTTTTTCATTGCCGCCGGAATCGCTTATCTCAACTGAGAGAGTTGCGCACTTGAAGTTGTTAAAACATTTCTAAACGCGGAAGGGTTGCTTGGTGCTGTAATTCTTAGGCTGGGTTTAATGGGTTGTATGATGGTATTAGAATAGTACGTTTGTTGGAGTAGTGGAAAGGAGATGTGGGGTTTCATAAGGTTCGCACAAGCACATGGTGATTATGTCTGGCTGGAAATATTATGGTATGATGTATAAGGAAGTAATCGTATGATATGATATGTAGCATTTTATTAGGGAACACGACTCTCATTCAGGAGGCGAATACCAATCGCCAGGGCTCAAATCATACATTAACAGGTTTTATTATTAGCTTATGGCGCAAGTTGGTCTGTAGTTGTGGGGCATTGTTTAAAACTATAGCCTGGTAGACGACATGAATGAATTAATCTGTAGGAGATATAATTGTCACTGTACAGTACCCGTGTTTAGAAAACCATCGCAGTTCCGCTTATATAACCTTGCGAAGGTTCCTGCCAATTGTGTTAACCGCACGCAGTTGCAAATCACGCAGGAAATGTCTACAGCGGCTCAATACCAGATTTTAAGTTCCCTTAACATCAGGTTTTGTAATGTTATACTACAGCAGGTATCTTATACTTTATAGTAAATAGGTATCGGCGGCTTCCGTGGTAATTTTTTGCAATTATGAATTTGTCTCCTATTTCAACTATTCTAGCTACCAGTACCTTCCTCTCCACCTGTCCCCCCCCCCCCCCTTTCCTGTTTAGTATGATACTTAACTTACACATAATTACCCTTCCTAGCACCTAATGGGCAAATACCACTCCACCCGCCTAAGCTGACCTTTGGCTTTCTAGCAATTGACAATTACCTCAGGTGTATTCACTCTGCTTCTAGGATTTTTATTCCATAAGTTCCTAGTACTTTGTTGTATATTCTGAAATAAATAAAATCAACTAAGTTACCAGTCTACTCTAGTGACTCAGTGAGTCATCCATTAGCTGCTGGACTTCAAGTTTGTATTAGACTATACTACTGTATTCTCGTGCGTTTTCTATCATATTCTGAGAACGTGCCTCCAAAGTATATATCATACTAGTACGGAACTCATACGATCGTTAACCAGTACAGTAATTGTTTCCCCACTTTCCTCCACTGCTAGCTTGAAACATGCCTACCTCCTTGATCTTGACTTCTATCTCGGTATATTTTTTCGGATAGACTGATATCTTTGAGCCTTTCTAGTTTAGTTTTTTTTTTGTAGTAGTGGTAGTAGTAGTAATGTAAGTAAGCAAGATTGCCAAGTTGAGTAGTCGTGAAATCTGATGTTAGATCAAATCTGATATTAATTAAGCTGAAAAGGTATGACACATACATTGTGGATATGCTACCAGTAGATTTCAAGCTGTGGAAATAAATGATGTGGTAGGAAAATAAAAACAATTAGGCAATTAAACAGGATGATTCCAAAAGCCTCCCGTACGATCCATTGGTTTGGGATGCAACGACCTCGCATCCCCTTCTGTTTCGCAATGTTCCAGATCAGTGAGGAACCGCTGCGATTGTGAACCACTCATTGTGTCTCACTCGACTGTGACCTTGGAATGTCAATGTCAGGACAGTAGCTTTGTGTAGCACATCATCTAGAATACTCCCTGTGACAACAGCTCCTACTATATTGGGAACTGTAACATGTATGATACCGAGGCACCATACATATCAAGCGCCATGCCAACCACATATGCTGCGTCAATCCAATTAATGCTCAAGATGCTAATCTCATTGACCAGTCACTTTAATCCTGATGAGGTTGCTTCATTTACGTTTTATAAATTGAACGAAAATTTTTAAAATTGTAAAATAAAATAATTCACAAATTAGGCGGAAATAGTCGCCCAACATGCAGTCTTTGGTATAAGCTAGACCATCCAAGGGGGATTTAGTCAATTTATGGAAAGGGAAGAAAGAGCGATTGTTGAGCAACGGTTCGAAAGCTACTGACGTAGCTCCACATGATTTGCGGGCTTCATAAAAAGTTAGTAATTTCCTCAATAGTTAAAAGAGTGGTTAAAATATCTTACAAAGAGCCCTCTGTTTCCCTGATAAGTACCTAGCCACCAATCTTCATCGGGGAATTCCAAATCCTCAATGATCGCATCCTCAGGGAAGCTGAGCTCATTTTCTTCGGCAGCCTCATAGTCATACAGCGCAATCGCAGTATCTCCGGAACCTGGTGCCTGTGGTTGGGGCGGCTGGTGCTCCGGCTCCGGGCTATCAGCCGGAGCTCCCCGAGGAGATTGTGCAACCTCCGTATCTCCCATAAGTTCGACGTAATTGCTGGGGAATAGGCCATGCTCACCCGCAGCATTACGGCCTGCCCACCAATCCTAGCCATAGTTAGTATGTTCGACCCAAGAATTATCAACTTCAGTGAAGCATAATACCTCGTCGACCATGTCAATTTCACCAACAACCTGTCCCTCAACCAAGTTGATTTCATTCTCCTCTGCTGCATCATAGTCATATAAAACTAGAGCCCTCTTGCCACTAGCACCCTCACCTCCGGCACTAACACCAACTACCGCACCTCTGTCCCGAGCTGGCTCCTCTTCTTGCAATTCTCTCTCATCTGGAACGGCACGTGCCAGGCTTTCTGCTGGCATTGAAATTTGTGGCTCGGGTTCGTGTTTTGCCATTGGTGGGCTATCCGATTGTCTAGCAACTGGCATGGCGATCCTGACTGGACTGCCTGGAGCTTCAGGAGTTGGAGGGGTGGGCGATCTGGGTTGGCGGGGAGGTGGCGGAACGGCCACAGCCGGAGCTGGCAGAGGACGTGAAGACATGTCAATAGGCGGCGGCGGCGGCACCTCCCGTTCTGCACCATGGAACCCGCCCGTTCGCTGGGGGCTCTTTGGCGATGCAGGAGTACCCATTGGGGGCGCACCAGCAAACTTACTCCTCAACGCACCAATGCCACCTGCGGGCGTTTGTACCTCCTCCTCATGAGACTGCGAACTATCGATCCTCTGTTGAGAATGTCCTGTCATAAGCTTGTCTGCGCTTCCGGTGCTGCGGCCAGTTGATGAAGTGCCAAGTGGGGGATGGTGTTGGCCTGTATATCCTGGTGAAATTGTGGGGGGAGTAATTTCGCTTGCTCCGGATGTACCTCGCTCTCTAGCCTTCTTCTCAGCCCAGAGCTGAGCAGGAGTCTTGCCGCCGGAGGAGCCAAAGTCTCGACTAGCGGCACCAACTGGTGGGGTTGGCTGCACAGTCGGAGAAATGCCAAAAGCGGCAGGTGTCGGCGGTTTTGTGCCAAATGCTGGCGCCCCGGCACCAAATTTCTTTGCAGGTTTGGGTTTAGGTAGCGATGTAAGACGTTCGCTTTGAGAAAAGACTGCACTGCGCTGGGCCAACGGCTTGTGATCTTCCTCTTCTTGTGCTGGTGCATTCGAGCGGGGACCGGGTGAATTGGGGGAGGGCCTGGGCTGAGCCTGCGCTCTGATAGCAGCGATATCTACCTTGCCAATCGGTTCATAGGTTCCTTTGACAATATCCGGGCGGTCTTGCTTCTGGCCCTGAGCTCTAAGGGCTGCGATATCCACTTTTCCGATCGGTTGATAGCCACCTTTAACGACATCAGGGTTGCTCCCAGAGACCGGTCCAGAGGTAGTAGAAGTGGGCTGGGCACGGAGAACTGCGATGTCAACCTTGGTGGGCTTGTAAGCTGAGGATACTTTCTCCAGCTGACTCCTGGTGACAGGAGGGGCATCAGCTCCCCAACCGTCTGCATCCGTACTTTCGTCACGCTTGTAGGGAGAGCGTGATGAGGCAGGATTAGGCGGTCCACCAGAAACCTTGGTGGGTCGGTGGGCGGGTTTGTGAGCTGAGACGGTGGGCTTAGGGGCAGTAAGTGGGGGACCGGACGTCGAGCCGTGGGCCGAGTATTTAGCACCAGATGCATCGGCCACCCTCTGGAGAATGGATTCCGGGAGTAGATCTGATTCTGAGCGGGCGGTTATTTGTACGTGGTATCCCTAAAGTCTCATCAGAATGTTGTCCGCGTCCAGGAGCGAACCATAACTCACATGAAGAACCTTGGATACAGTGTTGAGATGGCCGGTGAAATAGCCTTTTACTCTCTCCGGTACACCTTCCCCGCACTACTTTTCTTAGCGGATTCTCTTGATTGACCGCAGGATCAACGCAGAACGGGGGGGGTTATACCCAGGCTATTAAAACAAATTTTGCTAGGCTAGTGTTGGCATCTTTAACCTTTACAAAGGCAAATTGCACCTTCCCGTCATTGAATTCCTCTATAAGATCCTCGAGTTCACCTTCTAACAAAAGCCCAAATCACTTTATCAGTACATCTTCTAGGAGGGCTGAGCTATCGGAGGTAGGGCGATATCATCTCCCAGATTCGGGGGTAGAAAATTGGAAGCTACCTGCAGTACTGTGCACTTTAAGCACGCTTGCTTTGGAGGCAGAGGCAGCCACAAATGCGTTCACTAATGGAGTGGAGACAGTGAAGACAGCCCACTGTGCAAAAGTGGCGGATGGTTTGTTGGCCGGAGGAGAGTTGACCAAGGTTTGATAGGAGCGACCGATCTCATGAGAAATATCGAGTGAGGCCATGCTGAAGGGAGCTCTCCTAGAGGGGATTGAGTGTGGATGACAACGAAGCTGGTAGCGAAACAGGAGAAAAGAGAGAAAACGGAGGGGTTGGATAAGCCCAATAATATGAACAATGAGGGTTGATATAAATCAATGAGGGCTAACTTAGTACGTTATCGTGTTGTTGCAAAAAGAGCTCAAAGAGGCAATCTGGGCAAATTCCGGCGGCTGGTAGATAGCTTAGGGAATTCGTAGGAAAACCTGAGCGTTAAAAGGGAGGAGAGGCGGGTGTGAGCTAGACGGGCGATTATCGAGGGATGATGCCGTCCCTTGATCAGTTAGAGAGAGCAGCGATGTTGAGGTGCAAGAGTGACGACGACCGAGGTGAGATTCTTTGGTGATGCTGACTGATGGCCATAACTTAAGATACTATACGGCACAAGCACGGACAGTGTCGACCAATAAGTTATTGCTGTATTTGGGTGGCGGCCGTTCTACGAGCAGTCCTATGATATGCCTTTGTATTGGTCGAGCACAATTAGTACCGCATTTTACCAGTAAAACGGTCAATTGTGCCCTCACTGGGCAGTAGAGTGTGGCAATCTCTCTAAGCAGTGCTGGCGAAGGTTAAACATAAAGCTCCGGATTCCTAAGGGTTGTCATTTCATACTCTAATTTACTACCGTATCTTCTAAATTTACGCCTCCAATACGGTACCGTAGTCTAAATTTACCCCAAATTGCAATATTGCGTCAGGACGATATCGATGCGAAAAGGAAAAAAAAAATTCAGATTGTTCTGGTATTGAGCAAAATCTTCGCCTTGGGTTATTATGAAGGAACTAACAAGCTAGCCTTTATTCATTTCGGTACCTTGGCCCATATCATGCCTGATAACCGTACCTCAACGTCATCAGAAATCTAATCTTTAATTTTCTTTAGGCCTCTTGCCCTGTTCAATCTATTTCGTTGGCAGGTTTCCTTCTCACCCCTACGAGAAGGGATTAAGGAAGAGAAGGAAACAAGAGAAACAGGAACGCAAAGCTGTACCCATAGGTCCAGGAGAAGAGGCGGATCAAGCTAAAATCCAAGGAAAGAAGAATCAAAAGATAGGGATCTATAGACGGCTCATGACTAAATGGTAAGAATTAAGCTGAAGTGTTTGTTTTCGGGCTTCCTATAAGGTTAGGAGGAGCAACACCCAAGGAGCGGACGGCACAGAAACGCCGTTCGTTCACAAAACTCTGGGATCATATCAGTTAAACACAAACATTTCCACATAGTTGGGTATGTCATACCCAAGATAATCCTATAAGAGATGGTAAGCACTGAACAGCACGTTTAAATAGGGCAAGAAAAATACCTCTTTGATGCTACCAATTGCGTGCATTTTACCCACATCGCTTCGAGTTCCCATCAACTTGATGCGAATATGGGCGCCCTTATTGATGATCTGATCCCCATTGTCCGAAAATTGCGGCGGATTGGAAGTCGGGTCGAATTTGATGTCGCGGGGGATGAGCTAACTAGTGAGAACGAACAAGTAAAAGCCCAGCCAATCTACTTACATGGCTCGAAACGAAAACAGTCAATGGGCCAACTTCAGCAAAAAAGCCCATCTTATTGACAGAACTAACCACGCCGTCGACCTAATGGGTGTTAGCAGATGCAGCTACCTCCGGAAAGAACATATCATACAGTTTCACCCTTGAATGGGCGCCAGACAACAGCTTTGTAGGTGATTGTGAATTCTGCGTCGCCCTTGCCAGGAATAATTCGCCCGAGAGTAATATTCTCATATTCGATAACGCAGATGATGAAATAGCGCCCAGTACAGGAGCCCTCAACATCCTCGTGAAGTTTATGGATAAGGTAGTCTCTCATATGAGGACCAAAGTAAGATGGATGAAGCGTAATAGTGCGGTTGAGTTCGTGAATGAAGAACATGGTTGCGGTAACAGGAAGAGGATGAGCGGTGTGTTGATTCGAGAGAGGTTGCTGCTATGCAAATCGGAAGAGATGTGAGTGGTAGGATGCGCCCAAGACCCTTTTTGCGAGAGGGTGAGTCGGTAGAGGCGGGGGCAGAGAGGGCCGTGATGCGAGCACAGAGGAGGTATTAGAGCCTCGTGAGAGGTGGCGGAGGGGAAAAATGGAATGACACCAAAGAGCCTCGACTAAAGCCAGGTGGCAAAAAATATTGCGCAACAAGTGCGGGGCCAGGACAATGGGCAACAGCAACTAAGCGCGCCTTTGTTGATATGGTGAAGGTGAATAGAAGTTCGAGATATCTAGCTCTGGCGTTGAGAGCTTGCGCAGAGATTGATGATTTCCCTAACAAGGTACTGGTAGTGAACGAAAAAAAGGAGGGTAAGATCGCGCAATTAGGCAGACACAGACAACCTATGATTCTAGTGCTACAGTAGGTGCAATAGGTCACGTACGGTGGTTGCGCTGCCTTGGGGATGGAGAAGAGGCTGCGAAACAGCTTCAACCTTCTGCGCGTGAAGAATATGTCAGGGGAAACGGCGAAAGAACAAGGCAAACGCCATCACAGGTGATACCGGCAAGCTCAACGGACCCTTGTCCCCCTCCAAGAGTAGGGTATGATAATACAATATCTTTGTTTTTGACCTTGACATGAAGAAATCCACGGCCCCGAGTTATGTCTTGGCTAGATTATCTTCGCACAATCTTATTGTTTTTGCAAACTTGAAACAACCTACCCGGACCAATCGAAATTCCCTCCGAGTCCTGCCGTTGCCTCTCCCTTCTGCTTCGGCGTGCAAAACTCATCACCACCGCCCCCCCAAAAAACGTCCTTTCTTCTTTGTGGCTTCTCAAATATCTCCCCTCCTCCCCTCCTTCAAATTCCCCTCTTCTCTCATCATATCCATCGTTCACAATGTTTAGATCGGCCTTGCGTCAATCTACCCGCTCTGTCGGGGCGTTCTCTGCTGGCAGAATCATTGCTGTATGTTACTTCCCCGCCAGGTTTTCATCCCACCAAATTTTCGCGCCCGAGCACATCCACCCCATCGCCCTCGTCCAAAATTTCCTATCAATTGAGATCTTCAATCCCTATCTACTCAATTACCCTTTCCATGTTTGATTACTCACTCCTCTTTCCATCCCCCTCATAGGCTCGACACGTGGCCCCGGCTATCTTCAACAATACCGTCCGAACCTACGCCGGTGAGACCAAGGCATCTCCAACGGAGGTCTCCTCAATTCTTGAACAAAGGATTAGAGGCGTTCAGGAGGAGGCTGGGTTGGCAGAAACTGGTAGAGTTTTGTCTGTTGGGTGGGCATTCTTAATATTCGGTCTTTATGCGAATTGTGGACTTACAAGATAATTTCCCACAAAAAGTGATGGTATCGCAAGAGTTCACGGTTTGGCCAATGTCCAGGCCGAAGAATTGGTCGAGTAAGTTATTTTAAATATTAGGTTAGAATTATGGACACTGATGCGCGAATTTAGATTTGCCTCTGGTGTTAAAGGAATGTGCTTGAACTTGGAAGCGGGCCAAGTTGGTGTTGTGTTGTTTGGCTCCGATCGTCTTGTCAAGGAGGGAGAGACTGTCAAGCGTACTGGCGAAATTGTGTGCCTCTTTCTTCCCAAGTTGTCTTGGGCGGGGTCGGCGTATGCTGAGACATAACCTAGGTTGACGTTCCCGTCGGTCCTGAACTTCTTGGACGTGTGGTTGACGCTCTCGGTAACCCCATTGACGGCAAGGGGCCTCTCAATGCGAAGGAGAGAAGACGTACTGAAGTTAAGGCCCCTGGTACGTATGAGGTCATGTATGCCAAAACGAGCTCAACGGAACTAACACATTCTAGGCATTCTCCCACGCCGTTCGGTGAAAGAACCCGTACAAACCGGATTGAAGTCAGTCGATGCAATGGTTCCGATTGGTCGTGGCCAACGTGAACTTATTATTGGTGACCGTCAGACCGGTAAAACTGCTGTCGCTTTGGATACCATGCTCAACCAGAAGCGATGGAACAATGGGACCGATGAAACCAAAAAACTTTACTGTGTATACGTGGCTATTGGTCAAAAGCGCTCTACTGTCGCCCAACTCGTCAAGACCTTGGAGGAGAATGATGCCATGAAGTACTCAATCATTGTAGCTGCCACTGCTTCAGAAGCTGCTCCATTGCAGTTCCTGGCTCCTTTCACTGGCTGCGCTATGGGAGAGTGGTTCCGTGACAATAAGAAGCACGCCGTCATCATCTACGATGATCTCTCCAAGCAGGCTGTCGCCTACCGTCAAATGTCCCTCCTGCTTCGTCGCCCACCTGGGCGTGAGGCTTACCCCGGAGAGTAAGGCACCAACCCTCCCTTTCCCCAGATCTTTAGTCGCTGACCGTTGTAGCGTTTTCTACCTGCATTCCCGTCTCCTCGAGCGCGCCGCAAAGATGAATGAGGCCCATGGCGCCGGTTCCCTTACCGCTCTTCCCATCATTGAGACACAGGGTGGTGATGTCTCCGCCTATATTCCAACCAATGTTATTTCCATCACAGATGGCCAAATTTTCTTGGAGGCCGAATTGTTCTACAAGGGTATCCGCCCCGCCATTAACGTCGGTCTCTCTGTGTCTCGTGTCGGCTCATCGGCGCAGGTTAAGGCGATGAAGCAGGTTGCCGGGTACGCTAAATTAAGACACCCCTAGTGTTCAATTATTGTTTACTAACGAGTCGTTTATAGATCTCTTAAATTGTTCTTGGCCCAATACCGTGAAGTAGCTGCTTTCGCACAATTCGGCTCTGATTTGGATGCTTCCACCAAGTCTACCCTGAACCGTGGTGAACGCTTGACCGAACTGCTCAAGTATGTTGTGAATCGTTTCATGTTTGCTCGCTATCGAATCCCCACTAACGGTTTTACAGGCAGAAGCAGTACAGCCCCATGGCTGTTGAGGAGCAGGTTCCTTTGATCTATGCTGGTGTTAATGGACATCTTGACAATGTTCCGGTCAACAAGATTGGCCGGTTTGAAGAGGGCAAGTCATCCAGTGAAGTGGTATCTGTTTATGAGGCTTGTTGACTGACCCGACACCCAGACTTCCTTGCCCACTTGAGGACAAATGAATCTGGACTGCTTGCAACTATCAACAAGGAAGGCGCCCTTTCCAAGGAGACCGACGCAAAACTCAAGGACGTCATTGTCACCTTCGTGCAATCTTTCTTGTAAACAGTGTCGCTCGCATATCTTTAGGTATTCTTGGGAATTCAGCGTTTATATAGCTTCCTTCTTCCTTGGCCCACCATTCGTTCCGTAAATTGTATTCCCACTTCCTAAAATATATATATCTGGACGAACGAAGTGAGGTATTTCGTGCTATGTTTCCCCAATTGCAGAATTCTAGAATAAGATCAAGGAGGTGTCGGGGTGGGTTGATTGTATGTATTGTGTGTGACACTGAATGTTGCTCCCTCTCTTGCTACGTGATGCGCGCATCTTTCGAGAATATCCTGAAGCTGTTGGTGCTGATTTCAAGCTTTGGTGCTTGTTCCGAAGTACTCGTACACCGGTCAGGCATAAAAAAAAACCGGTACTGTACTCAGCGGTGGCGTGGATGCTGGTTTCGGCCAGGGTTGTTTTGGCGCAAACTGGGTCATGGTGCAATGTCCTCGGGCCCTGGTGTATCTTTTCGTTCGTCGGTACTATTGTACCGGTACCTACCAGCAGCTTGAGTTGCGTGCAGGAAAGAATGACTTTTTTGGGTCAGGTACCTTATCCATCAATTATATCTCCTTCGAATTGACCGGGGCAGGAGGAAATCGGGATCATCAAAGCCATGTTTCTTATGCACCGTATTTTATCACTGACCCTTGTATGATAATTAATGATACTACAAGTACTCGTACAATACGGTACCATGACATTAATTTTGGTCGATGATCTAAGACACTAAGGTATAATTTAAGTACTCGTACAATACATGGTTTATTATTGCTATGCTATACGAGGTTGTGCTCGTATTATATGCGTTCTAGTAGGGTAGGGGAATCGACGGTATCGCTCTTTGTCCTTCAAACCTGGAGCTCGATGGCCGATCACGCGAGACACAAGGCGTGACTTCGGCGAGACGCCACCCTCAACGAGGGGCTAAATCAAGGGCCCAAAATCGCTTTATTAAGGCCAGAGGAAGCATTGACAGGACGAACAGGATGCCTCGCTGAGTGCTCACCCTGAGCTATAGGTATAGTACCGGTAGGTCAATAGCATATAGTTTAGTATGAGTTACGTACCGTACAGTAACTCACCCAAGGGGACAGAAAACCGGTACTATACGAGCTACCAGTATCATATGTGGACTACACGGTCCTCGAGCACCGGGGGGGGGGGGCTTAGTCTAACTCCAAGCATTCGATATGCAATAACTGTAGATCACCGGGTGAACCCCTGCAAACGGTAGTTTACGGAACGGGACAGACAAACTGTAATTACAAGTACTTGTATCATGACCACAGTCAGTGATGTATCCACCCGACAGGTGAGCCCTTGTCCTCCAGCTCCGACCCCCCCACGAGCATCTGGCCTCCTAAAATTTTCGACACTCTCGCTCTTACCAGAGCATCTCCCTGCCAGAAAATACCATGTATGACCAGGTGCCTTACCGAGATACGGACGAGGCTACTCCGCAAATCAAAAATGACGCCTCCGACTCCAACCGCTCCTCCATCGACACTACTTCAACAACTTCTCTTATCCTAGAGAGACTCCACCGTGAAGACCCTGACGATAGCCCCGGTGAATACGAATCTTCCGGACCATCCCAGAGAGGAAAACCAGATGAAGACGACGACCTCGAAATTGGGCGTGCTGCCCGTCTCAAGCCTATGGAAAGGAAGGTTAGGAGGGCTATGTACCTTCTCGCTTTTCTCATGATCGGCGGGTGGTTCTTGGCACTTGCGGTTTATGTCTCTCGGGAGCACTTCGGAACCCCGGACACCGCTCATGATCCTTCGGCTACTGCCACTCGGAAGGCGGGGAAAAAGATTACACTCAACCAGGTTATGCGGGGGGCTTGGAGGAGTAAAACTCATGGGATTCAGTGGATCAACGGACCTCATGGGGACCAAGACGGTTTGCTCCTGACCCAGAACTCCTTCGGGGATGGCAACTTTCTTGAGGTCCAGGATGTCAAAAACGATTCCAATACGATCGTCCTTATAAAGGACGGGGCTTTGCAGGGTAGTGGACAACCAGTCAGTGCCATTAAAGGTTGGCCAAGCTCGGATTTGAAGAAGGTCCTTGTGGCCTCAGATCACGAAAAGGTTGGGTTTTCTGCTACCCACGATTGTCTCTCCCTTTCATGGCTGGGTATTTTCATTCCGGGTTCTATTTTAACGTGGAGCGATTTTAGAGATGGCGACATTCCTATAATGCACGATATTGGATCTACGACGTTGAAAAAGCTACTACTGAGCCCCTTGTTCCTTCGGAACCTGAAGCAAGGTTGTCGCTGGCAACTTGGTCCCCCAAGGGTGATGCGATCGCATTTGTGAAGGACAACAATGTGTTTATTCGCCAACTCGGCCTAGACTTGACTTCAGAATACTACTCTGTCACTCAGGTTACTAAAGATGGGGGCCCCGATCTCTTCTATGGAATCCCCGATTGGGTTTACGAAGAGGAAGTGTTTTCTGGAAATAGTGCTCTCTGGTGGAGTCAAGATGGGGAATTCCTGGCATTCTTACGTACCAACGAAACCGAAGTCCCGGAATATCCCATTCAGTATTTTGTTTCTCGCCCTTCTGGCAATAATCCACCCAATGGGTTGGAAAACTACCCTGAACTTGAATTTATCAAATATCCCAAGGCTGGAGCCCCGAACCCGGTTGTCCACTTGAGGTTCTACGACTTGAAGAAGAAGGAGGACTTTGCCGTTACGGTTGAGAATGATTTCCCCGATGACGACCGATTGATTACGGAGGTTGTGTGGTCTGACGGAAAGTATCTTCTTGTGAGAGAAACAAATCGGGAGAGTGATGTCTTACGCATGGTCTTGATCGATGTTAGTGCCCGAAGCGGAAAGGTTGTCAGAGAAGTGGATATTTCTGCTATCGACGGGGGTTGGTTCGAAGTGTCGAAAAATACTCGATATATTCCTGCAGACCCTGCAAGCGGGAGACCTTATGAGGGATATATCGATACTGTCATTCACGAAGGATATGATCACCTTGGTTATTTCACCCCTTTGGATAATAAGGATCCTATTCTCCTGACCAAAGGTCAATGGGAGGTAGTTGATGCTCCATCTGCTGTGGATCTCAAGAATGGTATCGTTTACTTTGTTGCCACCGAAAAGTCCCCTATCGAGCGTCACGTTTATAGTGTCAAACTTGACGGCTCCAATTTCCGCCCTGTGACGAGCACATCTGAGGATGGCCGTTACGATGTTTCATTCTCCAAATTGTCAGGCTATGCACTCCTGACGTACGAGGGCCCTGGGATACCATGGCAGAAGGTTGTGGGCACACCGAGCGGTGATCAGTCTTTCGTCAAAGATATTGAGAAAAACCAAGGTCTTGCAACCCTAGCGGCCAAACATGAGCTTCCCACCTTCCATTACTCCACTGTCAACATTGATGGGTTCGACCTCCATGTAGTGGAGAGACGCCCTCCCCACTTTAATAAAAAACGAAAGTACCCTGTTCTATTTCAAGTCTACGGCGGACCTGGAAGTCAGCAGGTATCCAAATCCTTCAGCATTGATTTCCAAGCATATATCGCTGCCGGCCTCGAGTATATCGTTGTGACTGTTGATGGCCGGGGAACCGGTTTCATCGGGCGCAAAGCAAGAGTGGCTGTCCGTGGCAATCTCGGATATTGGGAGGCTCACGACCAAATTGAGACCGCAAAGATCTGGGGGAAGAAGGGCTACGTTGACAAGAAACGGATTGCGATCTGGGGGTGGAGTTATGGCGGGTTTATGACCTTAAAGACGCTCGAGCAAGACGCTGGTAGGACGTTCTCCTACGGCATGGCTGTTGCACCTGTTACAGATTGGAGGTTTTATGGTACCTCCCCCTCCCCTCCTCCCCCGCTATCTAGTGTCTATTCGAGTGCTAAACCTGTCTATAGATTCCATCTATACAGAAAGATACATGCACACCCCCCAGCACAACCAAGAAGGTTACCGTAATGCAACCATTTCCGACACTCAAGCGCTCAGTAAGAGCGTGAGATTTCTGCTCATGCACGGGGTAGCAGACGACAACGTGCACATGCAGAACTCACTTGCACTTTTGGATAAGCTCGACCTAGCTAGTGTGGAGAACTATGATGTCCATGTATTCCCGGACTCGGATCACTCGATATATTTCCGTATGTTTCTTGCCCTCCCCCCCTCCTCTTTACGAGGTTTTGAATATGCGTTGATAGCTCAGTAGATAATGCTAACCGAATGGTATACGATCGTGAGTCCCCCACTTCTCCCCCTCTCCTCGTTCGATCTCTTCCTAAACGAATGCTAACAATATCTAGGCCTCGAGCAATGGCTCATACGTGCCTTCAATGGCGAATTCTTAAAGCTGGATGGGCTAAAGCCCATTAGGGAGATATCCGAGCCCCTGCGTAAAAGGAACAGAGAGCTTGTTTGATTATGGGTCTCGTTTTTGCTCATTGAATTGCTTTTGTGTGTATGTCTGTTTAGTCTGGTTTCGCTTTCTGCCAAGTTATCGTAGTTATGTACTATTAGTTCTGATATAGTAGGCGCCTAGGTTTTTTTCTAGATTTCTCTTAAAAGCAGATGTCGTGCCTTGGGATTCCCAGTAAGTTATGCTATCAGGGGTTGTGTTTCCGGCGAGTTAGTGTACTCTATTGCGCTGAGTCCAAAGAATAAAGTAGTTTGGTCTACTCTACTCCCTGCTCGAGCACTGTATAGTACTTGTATGGTATCTAGTTTCCTCCCGCAGTGTTTGAAACATTGAATCCCCGTTGAGCCCAAATACACCTTTACCAATCCCGAACAGAACAAGGGAATTCTACCGAGTATCGGGTGGCAGTTCGGTGTATTATCTACCTTATTGCACATCACCTTAGCAAAAGTGTCACTTAGTGTACCGGCAGGACCTCAGATCAAGCTTCCGCTAGCGAGGTCATTCCCCACATTTATATGATATCACACTCCATTTGGTGATTTTTAACAAATTACATGCAAGACTCCTCACACGTTATCCCGCAACTCCCCCCCCCCCAAGACCCGCGTATATGATGCGCTCTGCCTCTCCCTCTCCCTCTCCCGTGTCAGGATCGCCTCACCACCTACGCTCCCCACCCGTACCCCGTTCGTCCGTGGGCCACTGTCAATTCCACCCGCGTCCCCCACACATGGTCATCAGCAAAATGCTAGACCTCCGTACCGCGCTGTGAGAAAAAAAAATTTCACCCTTTCCAAAAACCATACGGTACACGGGGACGGCCAGTAACTTAGAGCGACGAGATGGGAACATGTCAATGGTGCATCAACACATTCCCCCGTTATGGCTTTTCGAATTCGCGATCTGTTTTTTTTTTTTCTTTGTTGGGTAAGGATGCAGTGGCGGGGGGGGTGGGTGTGTTTGAGGGGAGGCGTGCCATTATTTGGATGATATTGGGAAGGCGGGATGCGCGAAGGGGGGTAGTAGGTATAGAAGGAAGCAGTAGAGGTGGACTTGATGGGAGATTAGTTCGGATGATTCCGGTCACAGATTGTCACTCTTTTGGTGGATGGAAGGGCCGATTGAAGATTTGGGGGGCAGTTAGTATAAGTATACTGTACAGTGATCTCCCCCATACGGATATTCCCGCCGCGCCCTGTGTGTGGTGGGGGAGATGGAGTATCATAATGGCGAGCTGGTGGATGGCCCCAATGGCTGGGGATTCGGTCTCGAGGTTGTCGTTGCGAGGGAGAAAGATCGAGCATCAGGTTGGGGGCTGGGTGGGCGGTTCCGCGGTGGCTCGCGCTTGGAAGATCGCAAGGGCTTTGATTTTCAGAGTGTTGTCCTACGTGAGTTCAGGAGTGTTAGGGAGGCTGGGAGGTATGATATGTTCTACGCAGAGAGGGGCGGGTGTTGGGGCTAGGTGAGGGGATGTCAGCACTCGGATGTTGAGTTCAAAGAAAAAAAATACTCGTACCGTAGATAATTCCTAGAGCAGGGACAAAGAAGCATACTTATTTAGGTAAGGAAATGCTAAGGCTAGATGCGACATCTATCCACTCAAGGTTGGCGTCATGATACTACGACTGGAGAGTTTTACCGGGGATATCCGTCGATCAGCCCCAGAAAGAACGGTTTCACGTACAACACAATTGGCAACCCCAACGAACAATTCCGAAGCCTCTGGCTTCTACAAGTACTCACTCAAGGACAAAATGGAACCCTCTCCCATTAAAATCCGGCCACCAAAGATGAAGGCGTTATCAAGACGTATATCAAGTGCAACTCGGCTGCCCATAGCCAAAGAAGGGTAAGTTGATTGAAGAACAAGAGCGATCAAGAAGGGAGAATCAAAATCTGAGAAAGCCATCCTGGGACAGCAAGCGGGACATCAGGGGCTGTCCGCAGCGACGAATTTGTTTAAATAACTTCTAGTGAAGTCATTGGCTGTTAGAATCTGGGTGAGCCTGCCTCGGCAAAGTCCTGGCGGCAGTGCAAGTGGAAAACGAGTGATGGGTGATGAATATACATGGGGTTTTTTTTAAAGCACATTGCGATGGGGACGAGGGCGTATTCTCTCCTTGTGTTCTCCGTTAGTGCGACCCTTTATTCTGCGCATTTTTCTGCAAATAGTCACTGCAACATGTAGTTTTTCTATTTCAAACAATCACCTATGAGAGCCAGACCAATCACAAACAGCAGGGTATCCAATTATCTCTACCACAGAAGCCAACGCCAACGCTCACGATAATAACTAGGGGACATTGTAAGAGAAACACCGTTTGAGCCCAACTCAGAGAAGCTTAACCACCAGCAACGCTCCCGTTATTGCTGCCCTTTGCCTCATTTTCGACCCCCTTATTCGTACAGTCCTTCTCAGAAATGCTTGCCTGTCGCCGGCTTATGACACCTGGCCAGACCCTGGGCTCTGAGCCACTGATGTGGTAGTCCCCATAGCCACTGGGGCTTCCTGAACTACCGCTAGTATGATGCCTCAATAGTGCGGCAGTGCCAGTGGTATTGGCCCTAGCCGGAACGGGGAAGCTTGGGTAGCCGTCACGAGACTCCGTTCCGGGAGGGTTTGGGGAAGCAGTCTGGCCTTGTAAATCGTGGATGTGAACAGATGCAAGGAGTTTGGAAGAACCTGGGGACGTCGGAAATTGGATTGGCAATGGGAGATCACCTTGGGGCGAAGGAGGCTCCTGAACTGAAGTAGGGTTTGTTTGCATACTCGTTGTTGGCGAGGGAGGACGGAAGCCTGGGAATGGTGACCCCGGAAGTGTGAGCCTACCGGCCAACCCAGCACCCTGGGGACCAGCGGCATTAGCCATAGCCTGGGCGGATGTATAGCGCCCGAGCCTATCCCAGGTTAGTATGTTCTCCGTTGAATGGGACAAGAGACCCACATTCTTAGCTCTTCGTGCAACGTTTGGTGTCGGAAAGCCATTCTAATGTTGGGGACGTTGGATTTGTCCATGTTATTCCCTTCAGGCCCCGGCACATGGTAATCGTTTCCAAGCCATCGCGCTTTGATGGCTCCCTCGAACCCAGATTGAAGGACGCTGTTCTTAGCCAACTCGCACATGTCCACGGCGCTAAGTTTATAGATCTGTGCTGCAACAGAGTACTCCTCAATGAGAGGCTCCTTAGTGAATGCAAATTGTAGTGGATCATCCGTAGAGAGTGAGACGTTTAATCCTCGCTTAAAGTATGATAGGAAAGGATTCTTGTCGTATGCAAGGAAGAGCGCATTGTTCGAGAGCGGAGACATTGCAATTCCTATCTGATCAAGATAGAAGATATATTGCAAAAGAGGAACTTTACGAAGTAGGATACCATGACTAATTGAGTGACAGCAAAGCACTGCAGCCGCTAGATGGTCCGTATCTCCCGCCTCACCACAGTGCGGACGCACGACAAATGTGTTGAACCCACGCTGTTTTCTCCAGACATTCAAGGATGCCGTGTTCGCAAACAGGTAATAAATCCAATAGCTGTATGGTGGGTTAGACTTAACAGTCCATTCCGGTGGAGATGGGAATTTCCTGAAGGTCCTTCGCTCAGCCTTACTCTCATCATCCACACTATCAAAGCCGACCACTCTCTGCAAGAAGACGTGAAGCTTGGGGTGCGATGAAGGGTCCTTTGTTACTTCAAAAAGCGGCTTGAAGATGTTGCGAACTACCTCATCAAAGGAATTGATAAGACCGGTAGACTTGTAGACATTATAGAGGCGTGGAACCTGAATCAGCCAGCGAGCATTATGTGAGAATAGTTTGTTGTCCACCACCCATGCTGCCAGCTTATCCCATTCGTCTTCTGCACGTCCATATATAGAAATGCGATATTCGGCCATTTGATATTTGCTTGCCTCGAGATCCTGAAATACCTCTGCATTGCCCAGAAGTTAGTGTGTGGTAAAGAGTGGGGTTGGTTTCATCGAGTGCAGACCCTTAGTAATCTCAGCGAGATAGCGGCCTTTGATATCATTGTCCGTCTTAAGGAAAATAGTTCTCAAGCGAGATTCTCCCACTGGATTGTATTTGAGATTGAATTTATCGAAGCGATGGAACGAGTCGGTGTGGGCCTACCACCGGATAAAGGTTAATAATAATCACCCAACCAAAATTTCGATCTATTGGCAACTTTAGCCACATCATCTGGAGACAATCATAACCTACGTGCATATCCAAGGTGTCGATACTGAGGTCATATGCAGTCAAATTGATACTGGCGAACACCTCAGTCAATGTAAGATGTTTCCCGTCCCTAAAGAGGACCTTTTCCTATTATCCAGTCATTTTCCTCGCCTTCGGAATATATGTGTCTGAAACAAGGGGAAAAGTGCTCACATCCGGGCATCTCCTAATCTTGTGCTTTATAAACCGCAGGAGATGTTTCTGATTCATACAAGCGGAGTGGTGAACGTGCGTATCAACTTTCCTCACATTGTAAAAATCTCTATGAGGTACCCTCTAAAAATCGCGGCTTGCTTAGATTTAAGTCTCAATGCGGGTATTCCACTCAGCCACTTACCTTAGAGTCTGCCATTTCCTGGTGCTCATTCAGTAGAGTGTACAAGTTCCACTTGCCCTCAAGATATTGCAGACGTCTAAACGCGAAGCTCTTGCTTGGGCCATCGCTCGAAATATCAAGAACCTTGTCCAAATCGATATAATACTCCCGAAGTGTGGGAATAGCCACGACAGGCATACCGGCATCCAGAGCTGTAGTATGATTAGCGGTCAGGGTATTATGGTGAACAGGTCTCCCCAAACTCGAACTAGGGCTTACCTTTTTTGTTCTCATACACCTGGAATACACCATGACCATCTTTCCTAAATTCCATTTCATCCTCCCCGGGGATTTCACATTCCTCGAAGATAAAATCCCCCCCAATATTTTGTCCCGGCTTCCGGGCCTCCTTCTGAGCTGTCGCGTTTGCTTCTTCTTTCTTGGCTCCTTCAATCTCCTGTGAACTCCCTACGCTGCCTTTGGGTGTCTGTGGGTGGGGAGTTCCATCTTCGACCCAGACAGGTGGTGGAGGGGGTGGATAAATCTTCCAGCTGGGGTCGTCCTTAGGGTTATCAGCATGCCCCTGCAGCGATACACGCAAATATTTATGGCGTATATCCAAGATCTTCTGGACATTGGTGTAGATGGTCGAAAGCTCTGCTGAAAGTGCAGGATCCCCTATGATGCGAGTGTGTATAGGTTATTTCCATGTTCGCTGAACCTGTGGTATTGGAGATTCCGAGATGCAGTGTATACTCACTATCTATATATCCCCCCTGTGACTGGGGAAGTATTTCTCCATGGGGGCTAATAGAGTCTCCACTCTGCCTAGCAGCACTGGCAACGACACCATGGGGATCAAAGCGGGCCATATCAGGTGCTTGTATGCCTTCGTGCTCTTTAGGTTGCTCGAGTGAAACCATTCCCAGAGGTGCAGGTGTAGCGTTCGCAAGGCTTCTTGATCCAGCGATACCTAAAGTAGAGCCTCCTGCAGCTGATCCTAAATACTGGTGGTGGGGGTGGTGATGGAGGGGCAGCTGGTGAGAGGATGTAAAAGACCTAACACTCCCCGCTCTGCTCGGGTTCCCAATACCACCACTACCGCCAGGGCCTGCCCAGTTCCCCGTAGAAGCACGCATTATAGGAGAGTTCCAACCACTATTTGCTTGTTGCTGCTGCTGGTAAAACATCTTTGCGTCTGTTTGCTTCAGAGCCTTTTCCTGTTTATAGTCGTAGAAAGCAGACTTCCTCTCCTCGTCACTGCCTCCAAGAGAGTCTTGGTCCGCATGGTCGTCTTCGGGTGACGGAGGGCGAAGGTCTCCAGGGGAATCTAATAGCCGATCTGAATCGTCCCAACCGACGCCTGAGGCACCAGTGACACGGAGGTTCAACCTACATTGGTCAGAGCCCTCTGAGGAAGGGTCCCGAGGAGGGGCATTCTCAGGAGTGGGCATTATTTTATCCGCCGAAGGCAGACGAGAGCTGGACAATGAGGTGATGATAGGAATCAACAATAGCACTGGGGTTGTATGGGTATGTATTTGTTGAGGGTAAGGGATGAGAAGTGGCGGAAGATTTCTACTCGTGGTGGAGGAGCGAGTATGATATGAAAAGATAAAGCCGCCTATCCTCGTCACCACGCCAATGGAATGCGTGGTGATCCCCGCGCAAGCAACCAAACGGAAAGCAGGTAAGGTGTTAAAAAAAAAGGTAAAACGAGTACTGTACGGCACTCAAGAAGGCAAGTACAGCGGGGTGCAGAGCCAGAGGGCTGCCGGTAACTCCACTCCAGATCCCCAGGCCGGTTCACCGAGAGGAAATAAGAAGTTCATTCGTACCTTACCTAAAAGGATGATTACCAGTATCGGCAGGAACCAACCAACCAACAGTCACATGATCATAATAATCAGAACCCTGTATGATAAGAGTAAGAGAGCTGAATGCATGTCTCAGATCCTGGCTTATGTTCACAACGCATCAACCTCGCTTCGGTTGCAAACCGCTGCACAAGTGCAGAACTCAATTGTTGTCCCGTGAAAACTGGTATCATATCATACGAGTACTGTACTCGTACAGGACCGGCACAATCCTCTTTCCGATGGGCATCCCCTATGTTTCTGTGGGAACGGCATCCTACCTCTATCCCACCAAGCGGTTGCTGTGAGCAACCATGGGACTCCCGAGCCCTCTAGAGTCGCCTATTAGAAAACCGCTTGTCTTTCCTCTGTTGCGGTATTCATACCCCACCTACCCTATCGCCAAAACCACGCAGTCGCTGCAGTTTAGGTATGATAACATCGCTGAGTGACATTGAGCAAGGGCTAAAGCACAAACTGTGATAGGATACCATCCCAGATATGGGAGATGGGACCTCCTTCATCAAATAGGTTATAGGACGAAGACGAACCACTCTTAAAAAGTATCATAGATATCTCGTAGCTTATACACAAAACAATGCAATCTGAAGAAGGGAAAGCCCAGAGGGTGGGGGATTAATATATTCTACGGCCAGAGTCACAAGCCCTCATAACGTCTCCATAGGATTCCCCAATACTAGCTGCAATCTCTCAATCACCAGCGAGCTGAGGTGTACTGTACCTGCATCCTCTCAGTGGTATCAGTATCAAGTCAAACTATCATGCCCGCGACTCTCTTTTGCCATACCTGTCACTTCACCAGTACCAAATGATTCATTCAAGGGTACATTATAGTAAAGTCGTCAAATACTGATCATGAATTCTTGCACCAAGAGTAGGAATAGGCCTAGCATGGTGGTGAACTGAAACTGGAGCAGCTCCAGCCCTCTTCGCCCTCCCGAGCACAGGAGGCGCAATAGTTCCTCACCCCTGGAGTAGTACCGGTAGGGTAAGCTTAGTGGTATCATACCGGCACCGGAACGTATAAGAAATAATAGCCGGTTCCCCTCCTATTTCGCATTGCTCATAGTCTGGAAAAACAAGTGGGACGCAACAAATTTTTTTTTTTTTTTTTTCGTTTTGGTTTATGCGGCGGGTGAGAAGGCATGTGGTTTGGTGGGGCGCATGTCCCTCTTGACGAAGGTAAGGAGGTAACGCTTGGGGCGGTTGTGGGTGTGGGTGATGTTGAGGAATTGGTGCCATTTGAGGTACTAACTGGGGAGCTATCTGGAGAGGCATTGGCTGCGGTACCCCAGACCGCCCAGTACTCGAGTACCCTAGATTAACACGAGATGCGGAGCGGGAGGAGGTGGTGGGGGTGGCACGACTGCCTGCTGGGATGCCGAGAATGTGGATAAGTGATGTCCGTTCGTCTGTGACTGTTCTGGCTTCTGATCCTTGTTTTGACAATGATAACAGTAGCCCAACAGTATGCGAATGCGAAGATGCGTCTCCATTGGTCCGTATCCCATTAGTAGCAGGTGGCGTCTCATTGGTCAGATGTGTAGTGTTCTCCACTGGCCTTGGTGCATCCATAGGAACCTTCCGCCAGAATAGGCTAACATCTATTTGACATCTGAAGCAGTGCATAGGCTCATCTCCTCCAACATGATCATTGAGAAGCCCTTCGATTCCTCCAACTTTGTCTTCTGCGCCCTCTGTCTTGGTGTATATAGTGGTGGGCGAACAAGCCAACTCTTTAACATTTGCCATCCAATTCGCGGATGGTCACCCTGCACTATTTCTCCTGTTCGATTGCGAAGCCTTGGTAGAAATTGTCATTAGATTCGCCTTACGAACAGTACCTGTAAGTGTTAGATCCGCTTGTTTGTTTATATGTTGCAGTGTATAGCACGGGGTATTCTGCAAAACAATTAACAGTTTTTCCTCAATCGCCCTCCTATAACACTTACCTGTCTGGTCTCCTCAGATATCTCGCTAAGCACATTTGTAGTAGTCTTCTCTTCAGCTCATGCTCCGGACACCAGATAGCAGCAGTCACGCTTCCGGTTTCGGTGCCAAGCTGGAACATGTTCATTTGACCTCTCTTAGAGCCTTTCATGGGTTGGATATCAAGTCCCATCCGCCACCCTGCTTTATGTGCACGACCGACATGAACTATGAACGTGTTACATGAGCGACACTTGCCAGAAGTATAAGATGACTGTGGGTACTTACCACTCTCGTGGCTCACATAGCACTCAACGTAAGCACCCCCATTACCCTCACAAATCTTGCAGATTTGTAACCACCTCGCTACGGGGATAGTGCCGATGCCTTCAACAATTTTCATGGTCGTTGCCTCAGCAAATTTTGTCTTGGGGGTCCAGACAGCGCATACACCGTGAGTCCAGTTATTCCCCGACGTCTTTTCAGTGATTCGCGAGGGTTTTTGGCCGACGCCTATCGATTTCCTTAACCTTACGGCCATCCCCATGGGAGCCGTGATTATTGATGATTGGCTTGTCCTTTTCCACTTGAATCTTTTTCTTGGCCGAACATTTTGACGCAATATCCTTATCGCTAGCACCAACACCACTGTCCTCATGGCTGGTAAAGCCATGGCAGGGGCAAAGAACACACTCATAGCTATAAATTTAGTCTATGAGCACACCTTCTTAAACATAGATTAGGGAGACCTACGGTGGAAACAGTTGGATACTTGTCATTAGCGCACATCTCTTAAACCCATTGTTTGCTCCACGCTCCTCGGCGACGCCGTAGTACGCCTTGTGCCCAGACATTTTACAATCTCGACACACCATGTGCTAGTCTCCCAGGAGTTCCAGCTCCTCACAGATCCCGCACGACAACAGTTTCGGCTTTGGCGGCTCCGGCGGAGGAGGCGATGGTTCCTTCCTCTCACCCCTCTCCTTTCCCTTCTTTGACGAACCATTAACCTCTATTTTCTGTCTCTCCCGGGCCGGCTCCTTCTTCTCATCTTTGTGTGTCAACAGGAGTGCCATTTGATACTGGTGGAGTAGGTGCTGCAAAGGCTGTAGTGGCAGCAAGCGCAGTGGCTTCTACCTTCTCGTCTGCTTGCCTGGCGGTCATTTCCTTTAGCATTTCCTCATATATCCTTCTCTTCCACGCTCTGCCACCCTCCCTGAGTGATCTTCCTTTGAATTTCAACAGGATCCCTCCACTGTATACCATATCTTCTCCAGAGTTTTGCGCATCGTCTACATAGCGTAATGACCCTGCATGTTTGAGCTTGCGGTACCTTTATCTGCGAGGATCAATGTTCCGGGCTGTACACCGGGTCCACGCCTCCACCATCTGCTCTCACGGGTATTACAAAACTTGTGTTCAAATTCCCTTTTACTATCGCTCGCTTTGGTTTTATCAAATGCAGGGCTGTTATCACTATCGGCAACATCGTCCACCAATTTCGTTCCATGCTCCTTGCCCCTAACTTTAACCTCCACTTTCCCTTTCCGCCCCTCGGAGCCGCCCCATATCTCACGGCCTTTGGCAGTTTTCTTCCACGTATAGTAGTATCTGACGATCTCTGCCATTTTCCTTGTCTTGATACACTTGGTGACAGCATGAAGTTCACTTCCAAATTTCGTCAGAAGTGAACTTTCCTCATTGGGTCTACTCGTGCCTGACACTTCAACATGACTTTATGGCTCAACATGACTTTGTGGCTTATAGTAGTAATTTTATGGCTCAATCCAACCTTGTAGCTTAATCACAGTATTGTCACTCGATATATTATTATAAGTTTGACATGGGATACCACACAGCTAGTGTTTCCATGTCATACTCCACTCCCGGCACCTCTACCTCTGTCATCCATGTTGCCCCGAACTACACATCCCACATACTCGCAATGCTGGATGGCGAGACACGGCGACGCGAGCTGTGCGAGGGACGACTACGGCGGGCGTGTGAGACGCCTGAGCCGCGCCTCGATTTTGGCCGTTCTGAGTGTAACAAGTGGGTTCAATGCGAGTCATAAGAGGGTAAGTACTGCTATTTCATGGAGGGGTAGGCGGGGTTATCAGGGTGCCAGGCAGGGGGGGGTGGGACCGGTGGCATTGTTGGGGGAGGAGTGAGATACCCTGAGTGGAGTGGTAGAGCGGGATCCCCTGGGTGGGATCCCTGGGAGTCGGTGGAGGTTGAAGATGTCATACATCCAGTGGTGATGGTATGCTTTCTTTGGGGAGCGGCGTGTAGACAACATTCTGTAGTGATGACATTGGCAGTTTTGTAAAGCGCATTGATTTAGGCTTTGACCGTTGATAAATTTACAACACCCAACCCACAATCACACCCGCAGCAGTCATAATCTACCAGACAAAGTATGATAAATTAATTTAACTTACTCGTGCGGTATCCAATCGACCGTTGCGATCCCACAAAATGATTGGACAACCTCTAACCCCGCCCTCATGGTAAGTTACGTCATCCATTCCATACACTTCAACGGCAGAGGACTCGGGAGACAAACCAAATTTATTTGACAACCAAACAACCAAACAAACACCGGGCACGAGCACTCAGGCCCAAAATCCTCACAAGTTCTCTCCAAGGCATATCATACCGCTCAGGAGTAATATTCCAACCTGATTTGGTTTCCTGAATAAATAAATTAATAAAAGAGAGAAACCTTTCTATATGCCACCAATTCCAGTACCCTCTTCTCGGGAGCTTCTTCAGAGAGTGAAGATGTTCATTCCGCCGCTGCTGGATAAGATGCACAAAGGTTTGCACCAGGCGGCCCCTAAATAAACTATGATCAATTGAACCCAACCAAAGCTAACAATCAACAGGTCAGCAAGGCCGTGTAGCGGTCATTGGGGGCTGCGAAGAGTCCGTTCCCTCCGACCTCCCCCCAAAACCTCAAATTAACCCTTGCCAGTTATACCGGCGCACCTTTCTTCTCAGCAAATGCCTCCGCATTACTAGGTACTATACCATATATCCTTCGTCCTCCTCCAAACAAAACCCCCAAAGCTAACACACACCAAAGGCGCCGACATGTCCCACGTTATCTGCGAACCGCAAGCAGCTCAAGTACCTGCCCCTGACCCCAACCAATGGCATGCAGCTCTAACAAACTAGGTCATAAAAACTTACTCCCCAAACCTAATGGTCCACCCCTACATGCGCCAATCCCACCACGCCCAAGAGGGCATTCAATCCGCGGAAGAGATATCCCAAAAGACAATCGACTTGCTCGAACGCCTACACGCAATTGTCATAGGGCCCGGGCTTGGGCGGGACAGCTTAATGCAGGATACAGCCGCACACATAATTGAAGCGGCGAAAGCGAGGGGTATGCCCATGGTTGTAGATGCGGTATGGCACCCACAAACCCCCCATAAAGCCGAACGGGCAAGCGCTGACTGATGACAATGGTGGCGATGATAACAGGACGGGTTGTTCTTAGTGCAAAACCGACCGTCCATTATTAAAGACTATGTCAAAGCAATTCTAACCCCCAATAAGGCCGAATTCGCACGCCTGTGTAAAACCATGCAAATTGACCCTCAAGATGGCGATGAGTTAGAGGTTTGTGCAAAACTAGCTAGAGCCTTCGGCGGTGTGACTATCATACAAAAGGGACCGAAGGATTACATTTCCAATGGAAAGCAGACATTTATATGCGAACTCGAAGGTGGTTTAAAGAGAAGTGGTGGGCAGGGCGACACCCTTACCGGAAGCCTGGGGACGTTTCTTGCTTGGACGAGGGCTTATCGGGAGAGGATTTGGAAGTGAGTTGTTTTGCCATTGCGAAGCTACCTTACTCAGGAGGGGTACTGACGGGCACGAATACGCTAGTCACGACAACTCACTTTCCGATTCGGAACTAATCTCGTTATCGGCATTCGGAGCAGCTGCCGTAACAAGGTATTGTTCACGGGTGGCGTACGAGAAGAAAGGCAGGGCACTACAGGCGAGTGACTTGTCGGTGGAAGTTGGCAATGCTTTCAAATACTTATTCGAAACCGAAAACCCAAAACTCTAATACCTACCATGGTTCTTACATATGCCACCTCTAACCCAACCCCTCTAGTACACATGTATGACACAATCCCGCAATATTATCATTCACGAGTAAGCTTCCCGAAAGAATTTGGCTTCAATAGAATTGTGACATTCAGCCCAGTCCCGACTCGAGTATGTGGCATCGTGTGCGGCAGCCCAGCCTACCTCCTTGCGCCACGATCGGGAAGGTCGTCGGGACCAAACGACATGGGCAGCAGCTATCATAATCACAAGTCAGCCATATCCTCATCCGAATTTCAAGAAGCAAACCCCCCACAGCAGGAAGTAGAATAATAATAATAATAATAATAATAAAGCCCCATATCATACCTCTCCCAAAGTCCTAACAACACACTCCCCTACCTCCTTCCCGTACATGAAAATTGGCACACTGCCGTCCGAAAACTCCCGAATGAATTGTCGGCACATTCCTTCATAGACCACCCACCAAAACCGAATTAGTCCCCCGCCAACACTCCCCCACAGCAATTACAAATAGCGGAGGGAGGGTAACAAACCACAGGGCGACGCAGGCGGCGAAACATCCACCGACAAACCAATTGCGCGGAACCGCTTCTTTCCCTCCGTCTACGCACCCTTAGCCACTCGCCGCAGGAAGGAAGGAAAGAAGGAAGAGGGTGAACAAACGATAGCCTTAACCAACGCCGTGCGCTCAGCACATATTGTCACAGGATACGATGCGTTCTCAATATTGGCGCCAATAACCCACGACCCGTCTTCGCATAGGAGGGCGCAGCCGACGCGGAAGTTGGAGTATGGACCTTCGCTCCGCCATTAGTTGGGCGAGCGTTCAACCTAACCTATTAACAGGGGGAGGTACGCACTGTATGATACATCCTTTGCGGCCGCAGCTCTTTTCGAGAGCTCTTGGATTTCTTCGGGTGTTAGGCCGTAGGTTTGTGACATTTTTTTTCTTCTCTTGGTGGGGGGGGGTGAATGTATTGTTGGTTGATAGAGCAGAGGGGGACAACGATGGGGTGCTATACTTGTATACGGTACCGCGAGCTCAAGAGATTGTTAGCGGGTACTGTCGGTGCTTTGGGGTTTCGGCGGGCTGCGGTAGACCAAGTTGGCTTGTGCTGCGTTGTGCGTTGTGATAGACTACAGTACCCTACTGCGTACCGCACTCTATCTCGAGGACAGTTTGGTGAACTCTTATGCAGTGGTCCAGCTCAGTGTCCTGATATCACTTGATTGCCAAGGATATCCACTACGGTATCTCCGGCAGGCAGCTTGTCCCCGTATTCTGAGACAAAAACCCGGGAAAGGAGCATTGCTTTCCTTACACGGTAAAGTGTGAGTGTGCCGAGGGCCGGATCCCATTAACTGGTATTCGCAGTTCTGTTAACCTGTCAAACTAAACCTATCGTGGGCCAATGCAGGAGATGGTGAACTTTACGGGTTAATGCCGGTACAAGATGGGGGATCTGGCAAGGTGTGCACGATTACATGCTGTTCGTTTGATACTCACATACCGTCACTCGTGTCTACTATTTTCTGAGGGAAAGTTGGCCGTCAAGTATCTGCACAGGAAGTAAAATCTATGTCCCGCCGATCAGAGCAGACATCTCACAGAACCTCAGAATCGGCTAGGTGTCGTGCCTATTCCATTTCCGATATTCCCCCCGTGCACACCACTTCTCGACCTCCCTTCCTACTCTGTCACGCGATTCCAAACATCGTCCACCATCCGCGCATAGAACACTCCCAATCTACCAAAACACAGCGCCCAACCACCCGTTCCAAGACACCGCAATACCATACTAAGAGTACGACACTCGAGTACCACCGCCGATCACCTCCCTTCCGAGATCCCGCCCCGCCGCTCCTGCACAGCCAAGAGCGGCTAGACGTAACATCATTGGCCACGAGACATCCAAAACCTCACTATCATATCACAAAATCACAATAGTACTCGAGGTCACTTGCCAGGGCGATCGTATACTCGAGTAGTACGGTACATGTCTTGATACGAACTGATACGCAAGCCGAGCAAGGGAGTGAAAGGGAGCTACGCCCGCGGTGTTATTGCGATTGGAGAAGGGGAGAGGGGGGAGAGAGGAGTACCCGTACAGTACGGTGGGCAGGAACTGCACGATGAGATAGCAAGGGAATTCGAATGAAAAAGATGGAGAAAGAAAGAACCTCTTGGGGGGGGTCGCAGGCGCGGCGTCTGGCATCTACTCGAGCAGGGGGGGAAGAGGAGATGTGGTTGGAGGTGAGTGTAACATTTCTTGGTGCAGTATCCCTTGGGCGGTCTGAAACAGTAAAATTCGGGGCCAGGCACACCAATCTGAAAAAAAATCCCAAATAGGAGACTTGGCGCTTACAAAGCACCTAAGTGATATCAAAATCAAGCAATGCCCCAGCGACCACAGAAACATCATTGGAACACAGTCCTACCTGGATCTGTGTTAAAAGACTAAGTCAAAAATAATGACACAAGAGTTCAATAACTGGGATTCCCACTGGCAGATCGTTGCCTGCTGTTGTGCTAACTGGTTGATATGGGGCTCGTCCACTACTGAGTAGATAGGATAGGTATAATAGCTTATCGTTTCATCCAAGTTACTAAAGACAAACTGAAAACAGAACAAGAGTATGAGGTCTAATCTATGAAACAAGACTTTTGTGCTTACTATCATAGCAGCGTAAGCAAAGAGAAATTCCACATACAGGTCCCAAATAGTCAAACTGAGTTAATATTGTATGAACACCTTCTTGATTCATTCCACGTAGTATGAACCGGTACTGTACATAATCAACCTTTAACTTTCCTCTTCGAATGAATTGGTGTTCAGTTTGAACTCCATGGGGAGGAGGAAGAGAGGAATTATGTTGCAATTTACTGTAATGGGGAGGTGTGGTTTTCCATATGTAATATGTCTTCTGAGGCAAAGAATCCTTCTGGCCATACTGTTCAATTTATGATTCTGCAAGTCCGAGGCGGAATGACCGTGAGGTATTATTATACTGATAAGGCGATGGTAGATGGCAAGCAAGGAGGAAGAAATTGACAACAGTCATATCAACTAGCTAATAAAAAATAGGAGGCCAGTTCTGTAGGAATTTTACTTGAGTGAAATAATACCTGCGGTACTGATCCGCAACGTCAACTCCAACTTTGTACCTATTATAGTCACATGTAATGACTGGAATAGGAACATTTGTGCACTCTCCAGGTCTAAAGACTTGGTGAATTGCGAACCCATTACTACTCGATATTTGGGGCTTTTTACGTTCTGTAATCACTTGTTGATCAAGTGTGTGAATCGTTGTTAAATAGTGAACTGGGCTATTATCCTGCCACTAAATACCCAAGACCTTGCCCTCATATCCAACCGGACCTCCAGAAATCTTGTTCCAAGGAATGGATTTTCGGTTGCCATGGAGTTCTGGTGGAAATGCTCCAGTATTTATACGTGCTGTTCCACATTCCCCAATACTCATATTACGAAGTTTTGTAAGAAGAGTCAGCGAGGGAAAATAGTTATCCATATAAATCTTGAAATGGAACTCTGAACTATGTGGAAGGGAGGAGGCCAGCTGAAAAACTGTTGAACCAGTGGGGGTAAGATATTTTTGAAGAACTAGGCCAGTAATTGAACTTGTCTGTGACACAAAAATCCAGCTATATGTATAGCCAATATCATAAAGTACGAACACCTTGTAGCCTTCTGTGATCGGCTTGCTTGGCATGCAGTATGTATGGTGACTACGTCTACCAAATCAAATCATCATTTCATCCACTATCACGTTTGATGCTGGGAGGTAGTATTGCTGACACCGAGTTTGAATTATAGTATTGAGAGGTTCTAGCTTCTCAAACCACTCAGAAGGGGTGAGTTACAATACTGGATCTGAGATATGTAACTATCGTTTAATCTGGGAAAAGCGTTTGAAAGACATCACTTGAAATGTTGAGTTTGCATTCTCTCTCCTATTACAAAATGTCTTCGGACTAAGTTCACCTCTCGTTTTTGCTCCCATATGAATTAATAGGACCTAAAAGAGCCTAATCTCATAGCCAGTTACTTTCCTCCATGCTCAGCCAAATAACCTCCCAGCTTCTGACTCTTTTCGTGCATCCTTTTCCTTCGCATAGTGGTTTTTCCGTACTATAAGCACATTGATCATGCTATCATCCCAAAATAACTCAAATATTCGTAGTGGATCTGCTTTACAGTCCTCCCAAGGCAATAATGGTTGACAAAAGTGATCATAACGGGGAAAAAGTGAGGTATGTGATTTCTGGATAGCTTGAATGCCTGATGCAGATTTGTGTGCTTTTGCAAGCTTTTGAGATCATACATTTGGAGCTCTTGGTTTTCTTAATACGGACAAATTAGAAGAAAGATCAGAAAGAGGTTCTTGTACTTGGGCAAATCTCGACATTGTAGGTATTTCACAATAGTTGAATATCAAATCCATATCTGACGGATAACGTTGCAATATTGCCTTCTAGTTAATCCTTTTGTGGTCTAGTGTTTCTTATAATAGACATTGTGTGGTGGGCCCTGAATTTTACTGTTTCAAACTGCTCAAGGGATAGTACTTGTATGTAATAATTACAAAAAACTCTCAGAATACTCCATTGGGAAGTGACAAGGACCCAGGACCTAATATGCTCCACCCAAACTAAAATACCCCTGAAGCCAAGCAACTTTGACATTAGTTTTCTGTTTTCTTACTTCTACCTCCCTAGTAAACAATTGCCAGTTGTCAAAACAAACAATGGATGTAAACAAATAAAGGCTTAGAAGAAAAAGATATACATAATGCAGAGTAGGGAAATAAAGGAAAAAAAATAAATAAGCGATCATATCTGAAAACATCAGCAACATTACCAGTCAAAAAAGGTCAGCAATTTCCCGTTTTTAAGACATTCAAAGATGCTGTAGGTGAATCGTCTATTAAGGAAAAGTTTACGGTAAGGATAAAGGAGAGTGATTCCACTCAAGTGATATATCATTATGCAATTAGTGAGTGTAGTTTTAGCATACAGTATTTCTTAACAAGAAGGAAAGTTGTATAGAGGTAGGACTCACTAATCTGGTATACCTATGCTATGAGGTCAGAGATGTTCTACACAAGGAAAGTAGCCGGCTGTCACGAACATGGCTTGGCACAGAAAACGTTTTCACATGACTCATTATTATAAGTAATATGTATGTTATTGTTTCACATATATGATTCATTAAGATCATATGATTTGTTATATTTTGCATATAGCTCAAATATGAGTCATGGGATATGCGCTTGGCGAGTATGCCTTGCAAGTGTGCCTTGCGGGTATGCCTTACACATATGATTTAGGTTTAGCACATGACCTGGTTATAGGATCATGGGTTTCACACATATGACTCATTCGAGTCATATAACTTATTTATTGCGTTAAGATTGGTTTATAAGTTTTTACACATGACCTTGCTATGAGGTTATGGGTTTTGAGTGTGTAACCACTTTGGTCACATGATTAGTTTGTTATGATTTGGTTTTGTACATGTGACCACTTTGGGTCACATGACTACGGGCAGGAAGAACATTTTATAAGGAGGCTGATGCGGCCAAGGAGGATAGGTTCTTTAGGCTTTGTTCTAAGTACTTTTCCTCGTCCTTGCCATTGATTCGCCCTGAGTGTTTTTTTCACACCCATGGTGGACCTTGATGCCTTGGATTCTGGGGGAGATATCTGAGTTCACTTAGTAGTTCCTGAGGTCTTTGGTGTTGAGGTCCGTTGGCATTGCATGGCGGATAACTTGTTTGTTTGTTTTACATTTCGTCACCTAATGGTTTCTTACAATGCTGTCACTTCAAGCACTTTATCATGGTTGCTTACGAGCCCCTTTCCATAAAATGTTTTTGGCTTCCTGTCTATCGTCTACTCGCAGGTTTCGCATTCGATT